GGAGGGCCTGAATTTGAGGCCCAGATCTGCCAATTACTTCGTCTGACTCTGAACCTCAGTTTCCTCATCTGTAAAATGGGGACAATATAGCATCTACCCCCCAAGATTGTTATGAGAATCAGCTGAGATAATCATCGTAAAGTACTTAGCACAGTGCCTGGCACACAGCGAGTGTTATAGAAATGTTATTTATATTATCTTATTATCTGTAAAATCATCTTCATTGTTATGTGTAAAACGAGGGCGTTGGATGAGACAATTTCAGGTCTCTTCTAGTTCTGAATCCATGACTTCTGCTGTGACCTCTGGTCCTCCTTGGGATTGCTTAGAAATACTCTCGGCAGGGGTCAAGAGAAGCGGTGTGGTCTCATGGAAAAAATGCTGGACCCAAGACACAACGACTAGAGTTCAGTCTTGCCTCAGACACTTCCCAGCTGTGTGACCTTGGGCAAGTCGCTTAACCTCTGTTTACCTCAGTTTTCTCACCTGTAAAATGAGAGTTTGGACTCTAGGGTTGCCAAGATCTCTTCAAGATCTGATTCTCTGGGCTGATAACCTTTCTGTTTGAGTGGCAGAGAGTACAGGGAGGGGGGGAAGGGAGAGAATCTGGTTAATTTTCCTAGTTAACTTAACTTTCAGCTCTGTTTCCTCTCCCAACAAGAACCGTAAAAAGAAATGATAAATTCCGGATTTGTCCATCATTCACAGCTTCCAAAAGGTGGCAGCACCATCCTGGGGAACAAGGCCTAAGTCGCCCTGATCAAGAAGTCAGGAATGCTGCCAGGGCCCTTCAGGCAGGGATGGAACAGAAGCAGCAGCAGCAGCAGCAGCAGCAGCAGCAGCCACCTGCCCCCAGCCCCATTAGCCTGTTAGAGCCCGGAAATGAGCCCCCAGGGGTAACTGCTTTCCTCTTTCGTGCTGGTCCTCTTTCACCTCCCATCCACCCATCCATCCATTCATCATAACCTCGAGAGGCTCAGTAAAGATTAAAACATCTGTGTTGCTTATTGAACATGCCCTGTTCTTCATGCTGCTAATTGCTGTGATGGGCTTAGCCACAGAATGATTTGTTTTGGGATCTCCCCAAGCTGTCTAAAGCAGGTTTCCAGTAGGGCATGCAGGAGCCCTGAGAGCCAGGGCTGAGCTTGCGAGCCTCCCCACAGTGACCTGAGGTCATCTGGGATGGCTGCTCCTTGTCTCCCGGAGAGCAGATCTATGCATGGTTCATGGGTTCAGAGCTGGAAGGGACCTAGGAAGTCACTTAGTCTAACCCGCCATCTTGCAGATGAGAAAATTGTGCCCCAGAGCTGTTGCTACTTGCCTAGGATGGCACCTGATGCAAGTCTCAGGGAAGTGACTTGCTCAAGGTCACATAGTGAGTGGTAAGACCAGGTTCTGAACCCAGAAGTTTTCACAAAAGCATTTTTGGAAGTTTGAGGTGTTTGTTTTTTGTTCTCAAGTAGGTCCAAAGCAGCTGAAAGGTTTTTGGTGGCTTCTTTTTAAGGCATGTGGAGTTCAGATGAACTCCACGGAGTGCTATCACTTCTAAATTCCTAAGAGAAAGCCTTCTGATAATTCCCTGCCATCATTCATGTGCACCCGAGGCTAAGCTTGTCTTTGAATTGGGTTGTCTATGAAATACAATTTTTTTTCCTCTGCTGTGGGAATTAGAAGGAAATAAGTCTGTAAAATGTCTGATTGAGGGGAATAGATGCTGGAGAATGAGCCAAAAGATGAAATTGGCTGTGACAAAAGCAGGGGGAGGGGGTGTAGGGCACCCTCTCTGAAGCCAGCAAAGGGAGGCTTTGCAAAGAACTGGTACATTTGGTTCTGGTGTTTGCTTATTATTGCTCCCTTATAGTTTAAAATCACCTTCATTCCAAACATCTCTCTCTCTCTCTCTCTCTCTCTCTCTCTCTCTCTCTCTCTCTCTGTTTCTCTCTCTCTCTCTCTCTCCCTCTCTCTCTCTTCTCTCTCTCTCTCTCTCTCTGTTTCTCTCTCTCTCTCTCTCTGTTTCTCTCTCTCTCTCTCTCTGTCTCTCTCTCTCTCTCTCTCTCTCTCTCCCCCTCCCTCTCTCTCCTCTCTCTCTCTCTCTGTCTATCTCTCTATCTGTTTGTCTATCTATCTATCTATCTGTCTATCTACCTATCTATCTGTCTGTCTGTCTGTCTGTCTGTCTGTCTGTCTATCTATCTATCTATCTATCTATCTATCTATCTATCTATCTATCTATCTATCTATCTATCTATGTGTGTATCCCTTCCCCAGCCCCTCCCAGAACGTCATCCCTTGTAATGCAGAGAAAAAAAAGTTCAGCAAAATCAACCAAGTGTGAAAGTACATACAGTATTCCACCTTAGCAGTGGTCCTCCACCTTTGTAAAGAAGGGAGAGAGGTATATTTTTGCAACTTTATAATTATTTTTAAGTGGACCTCTTAAATAAAATTTTACTTTTTTTTTTTTCCAATTAACAAGCAAAATTTACCCTCCCTCTCCCTCCCTGCCAACTGAAAACAAACACAGCCCCCATAACAAATATGCAAAGTCCAGCAAAACAAATGTCCCAATGGCCGCGTCCAAATAATGCACCTCTGATCCAAGGTCCTCAAGGTCCTCTGTCAGGAGGTGGATAGGATGCTCCCTCATCTGTCCTCTGGAGGGCGCTGTCATTACACAGCTTTGTTTCCCTTTGTTGGTGGTTTTTTCCATTTACATTGTTGTAGTCATTTTGTAAGGGGCCACTAGGTGGCGCCATAGCACACAGAGCGATGGCCCTGGAGTTAGAGAGATCTAAGTTAAAATCTGGCCTCACGCACTTCGTCGCTGTGTGACCTTGGCCAAGTCACTTAAACCCTATTTGCCTTGGTTCCTCTTGTGTAAAATGGGGACACACTGGAGAAGGAAACGTCAAACCACTCCAGTATCTTTGCCAAAAAGACCCAAACCTCACGGAGAGTCAGACGTGACTGAATGATGTGTCACCGTGTAGATGGTTTTCCTGGTCCTGTTTTCTTTCTTCCACGTCTGTCTCTCTAAGTCTTCCCAGGCTTCTCTGAATTTTTCAGGTTTACAGTTTCTTACAGTATAGTAACATTCCATGACGCTCCTCTGTGACTTGGTGGGGCTGATGCACGTGTGTGATTTTTTATCCGATGTGCCTCTTTATTCGCTGTTGGCTAGTCTCCCTTTCTGGGTAGGGAAGGACAAGATAATCTGTCTGCCCCAGGAGATTGCAAGCTTCCTGAGGACAGGGGTGATTTCTTGTTTTTGTCTCTGTATGTCAGGGCCTAGCACTTGGTAGGTGTTGGTTGTAGGTTGGGGAGCCCTCCACATCAGTCTCTTTAATGCAGACGCAGTCTCCCCAGCCCCTTTCTGCCAACTTTTCTGGCATCCACGCCACTCCTCCACAGAGACCTGAACATAAACCGGTCAAATGGACCAAGTCGTATGTGCCTGAGTCCTAACTGCATCAGTTCAGATGGCTTGTTCACCCTTGCTGCAGTTAACCTTCTCTGGGGCTTGAAAAAGGGCTATGTTCTGGCTGTCCTTTGGAAAGCTGGTTTTTCCTTAATTTCCAACTGTATTGTATGGTTAATGGCGGCTTGGTCCCATTTGCTGCTTTTCATTTACCGGATCATGATTTTTTATTGAATTTCATCACTTCAGCTTTGTCTCTGGGGTAATAAGGTCAGTGGGCTGGGTTTGGAGTCACTGGACAGGATCTAGTCCAACGTGGGCCTGAATGTCATGGAGCTCAATAAACATTGTTAAGCACCTACTATGTGGCTGCAAAGCCAAAAATGAGGCAATTCCTGCCATCCGGTCGCTTAGCCAGTGGTGGGGGTGGGAGGCGGCAGCCCTCCATCTCCCAGGGCAGCCCATTCCACAGCTCCTGTGCTTAGGAATCTGAGGAACAGGTTCTTCTTTACAGCTTCTGATCAGGGCTCCTGGTTCTCCCTTCTGGGACCAAATCAAACAAGACTACTCTGTCTTGTGCTTGGGATTCCTTGAGATACTCGAAGACAGCCGCCATCACGTCCTCACTGAGTTTTCTCTTCTATTAAAACTCTTCATATTGAAGTTTCTCAAAGGATCCTCCTACGGTATGAAGTCCCGGCTTTTGGCCATCGTGGCTGCCCTCCCCCAGACGCTCTCCAGTTTGTCCGGGTCCTTCCTCAAACATGGCTCCCACCATTGGACACCATCTCTAGCTGTGGTCTGACTGGGGTGGAGTCTGGCGGGACTATAGCCTCCTTATTCCTGGAAGCTCAGTCTCTCTTCCTCCAGCTTGAGATTGCCTCGAGAACCCGATCGTACTCCCAGATGTGCTGCTTGCTGCCAGTAGGACCTTGGACAAATCCTTTAACCACTGGAGCTCTCACCTGGTTGACTTGGGGATCTCCCTGAAGTTCCTCCTGACGATGCTCTGATCCAGTCCCAGCTCTAGGTCTGCAGCATTGACTGTTTCCCCTCATTTTGTCCCAGATGTGGATGAGGAGGAATCCATCTGCCTTTCCCCATTCACTTTGTGGAAGTGGAAGATAGATGTCATGCTGTCCTCAGCCTTATGTTCTTTGGACCATGTTAAGTGGGAGTTCAGGAACTTGGCTGGGTACTCGGGGCTTGACTCACACAAGAGCTGTTGGGGGCAGATGACTGGCTGTTCCAGGACCAGTCGGTCATCCTCTGCCTTCCTCCTCCATTTGGTTCCCTGATGTGTCTGAGCCATGCTGAATAGCAGGGTCCCGAGACCCCCCCTTCCAGCCCCAGTCTTGGGGGAGGTGGGGAGTGAAATGCATCCTCCGCTTGCCTGGAAGCTCTGAATTGGCCTTACTAAATTTTGGTTTATGTTGTTCCGTCCCATGGAATTGCCAGCAGATAAATTCCTGTGGCATCTCAGGCTCCCTCCCAAGGCCTTTGCTCTGTCAAGGGGAAGATTCATAAGGCCATCAGGCTGCGGTGAGACTCTGGGACACTCACACTCGCTTCTCTTTTCCAGGACGATAAATCTGAAGAGTCCTCTGCTGCAGCAGGTTCTGGAAAGGAAGAAAGAGGTCCTGTGCATCTTGACACAAAAGATCATGACGACACAGAAGTGTGTGATCTCTGAGCACGTCCAGATAGAAGAGAAATGTGGTGGCGTGGTGGGCCTCAAGACCAAGAGGGTGCAGGTAATCCCTCAAGTCGGACCAGCTGGGGAGGGAGGGGAGTCCAAGGGGACTGGTGCAGTGCTCTCCCTGGTCCATAGGGGAGCGGGCTGCTTCAGAAGTGGATGGAATGCCCTTCCTGGTGGCCCAGGGCTGGCTGATTGCTGGCCAGAGGGAGGGTCTTCAGTTCTGAGTGAGGGAAGGTGAGGAGGCAACCTCTGTTAAGACGTTCTTGGTTACATGGCACCTTTCATGCCAAGAACTCAATCCTCCCTTCTTGGCCATAAAGTGGTCAACAAAAGAAACCTTATGTTACCATGAGCATGGTTGGCTCTATGCCCAGGCCTCATAGCCAGCTGCCTATCTGGTGTGATTGGGGCAAAGCAAGGGAGTGCCTAGGCCTGGCCTAGAGGGAGCCTTGCGTATGTTGACCTCCCCGCTCCAGCCTGCTGGGGGGCCTGAACGGTCTGAGGCATTTATCTTGAATGAAACCCTGTTTTCCTGGCTTGTGGCCTAGAAGGTAGAGCCCATGAAGCCGGGTCTCGGGCTTTCTAGCACATGAGTAAGCTGGGAGCAGGCGCAGCCCAGGGTCCTTTGGACTGTGGGCCAGCCAGAGGGGACGGTTTTGGGGGCCTGCCTGAGGAAAGAAGGCCTGTGGGGGACCCAGAGTGGTCGAGTGGCCTGGCTGCAGGCTCTGGAGTGAGAGGGGCCAGATCAAAGGAAGGAGGCATCTAGGACTCACGGGCACGGGCCGTACACACCTCCTCACACGCACACTTGTCTCTGTCTCACACACGCTCTCTGAGCCTCTTTCTCATACTCTCTCTCCCTCTGTCTCTGTCTCTCTCTTTTTCTGTCTCTCTCTCTCTCATTCTCTTACTCCCCTTTACAGACGAGCAAACAGGAGCCCAGAGGTCACTTGCTTAAGGTCACATAGGAAGTAAGTGGCAAAGTCAAGATTTGAACCCAGGGCCTCTGACTTTCATCCTCTCCCTTTCCTACTCCAATGCTCCTATTGACCTTTGCTTCAGTCACCTCTCACAGGTCCCGTCACATCATTCAGGCTCGAGAGGCAGTGTGGCCTAGTGGATAGAGCAGTCCCGGCCTTGCTGGATCCCAGATTAGAGTGGGAGGAACCTTGGAGGCCAGGAAGTCCAACTCCCTGATTTGACGGATGAGGAAACTGAGGCCCAGGGAGGTGCCAGGTCCTGTGTCTCTTTATACCTCTACTCTGGGTGCAGGTCCCTTTTCTCCTAGATCATGACTGTGTGACCCTGGTCAAGTCATGGAGCTTTTTGGTGCCCCAGGTGACTCGTTGAACTCTAGGTTACAGATGAGTGTCAGCTTGCATTGGAGGAAGGACTTTCTGCCCTGGGAGGTCTCCACAAAGATGAAATCAGAATTCTGGCCCCTAAAAACAAAACAAAACAAAAAACAGGAGCAGCGAGGTGGCACAGTGGATAGAGCACTGGCCCTGGATTCGGGAGGACCTGAGTTCAAATCCAGCCTCAGACACATAACACTCACTAGCTGTGTGACCCTGGGCAAGTCACTTAACCCCATTGTCTAGCAAAAAAAAAAAAAACACCACCAAACCCCCCAGAATTCTGGCCCCTGAGTCCGATGTCTCCCATTTCTATGACGTGTTGGGGTCGACAGTGTGCTCGATTCCGCTGCCCCCAGCTCAGTCCCCATTGAGGGGTCCAGGATGCTGAGGCTGCAAAAGACATGCTCTGCCCTCAGCCACACCCAGCACAGGTGATGGCCAAGGCCGTTCGTCTGTGGCTGCTTCTGGTCCAGGAAACGGGAGGCCCAGGCTCCCCCTTTTTTTAATAATGGGAGAAGGAGGCTTAAAACGGGGCAGGTTAAACTGTTAAAACATTGTGTGGTCTCATTAACATCTCCAGATGTTGTTCCCCTATACCCGTCCTCCTCCCATGGATATCATGGAGCTTTAGGACGTACATGACAATGACCTGGCCAGGGCCACACAACCAGTACGTGTCAGATGTGAGCCTTTAACCCAGACTACAGAGACCGTTATTTCAGTAGTGACCCCATCTGGGGTTTCCTTGGCAGAGATACTGGATTGGTTTGCCATTTCCTTCTCCGGCTCATTTTACAGATAAGGAAACTGAGGCAAGCAGGGTAAAGTGACTTGCCCAGGGTCACACAGCTGGCAAGTGTCTGAGGCTTTGAACTGTGGACGTTAAGTCTTCCTGACTCCAGGCTCAGTGCTCTATGCACTAAGGTGCCCCCAGCTGCCACTAGGAGTCAGAAGGACTTGGGTTCGAATTCCCCCTCTTATGGTTGCTGTATGCTTTTGTCTACATAAGGACAAGCTTCCCACAACTCGATGTGTTTCAGAAGGGAACATGGCTTTGGGTGCTAAGCTCGCCGTCAGTATTGGGATTCCAGCAGAGGCTGTAGGTGGTATTAGGGCTTGGGCACGGGTGGGGTGAGGATTCCTCCATGTTCCTGCGGTGGCTGTGGACCACAGATGCTCCTCCATTCTCCTGCCATGGAATTTTACCCGCCTTCTTCCTCTGAGCCTCCAGTAACCCTGCAAGGTGGGGGTCACCTGTCCCATTTACCGCTAAGGGAATCGATGACAGTCAAATGACTTGGCCGGGGGCCATGGCTCTTAGTGGCTGACAGGATTTGAACCCAAGTCCTGCCTCCTTGTAATAATGGTCTGTAGGATTATCTGCCCAAACTCTTGGGGCAGGGGTTGGTTTGTTCTTGACTCTTTGTCCCCACCAGTGCCTGGCCCAGAGCCAAGTATACGTGGGCACTGTGTGAATGTTTGTTAAATTGTTGAATTTATAAAAGTCCTTGAAGGTCCCAGCCTTGGGGAGCGGGGTCCTTCCTTCCCCTTGTCCCCTTCTCTTCCCCGGCCCCTTCCCCGAGTCCTCTGGAGGCTGTTACTGAAGTTGCACAGTTACACAGACAACATGGCCCCCCAGCACCGGCTGCGGCTTCTCTCCTCCTGCAAAGCTCTTGGCCTCATTTGGCGTTTTCATCATGGCCTTCGAGGCTGTTTCAATAAGCCTCGCCAAGGGGCCGGAGCCGCTGAATGCCACCTCGACCTTTCAGGGCCGAAGGCGTAACCTCGCTTTCCTCAGAGCGAGCGCTGAAACCTCACTTTTGGTGCCAGCAGGGCTGACAGCTGGGGGTGAAGGAATACGAGGGGCAGGAAGAAGACTCCCTCCCTCCCTCCCTCCCTGCCCACCTCCTCCCTCTCTTTCAGGTTTCCGTGAGTGAAGATGGGAACGTGAAGAGAGATTCCAACGTGGTCCTCGAGATCCCGGCATCCACCTCCATCGCCTACAGGGTCCTGGAGCTGTACGTCAAGAAGGATGGCCAGTTTGGTGAGTGTCCTGCCTTTCACGTGGCCCGTGGGCAACTCACCTACTGTGTGTCAGAGCACCGTGCTGAGGATACAGATGAGGGGATAAAGCAGACCAGCGAGGGGTTTGCCTGCCAGGAGTTTATGTTCTATTGGAGATGTTACTGTTCAGTCACTTTTCAGTCATGTCCTTTCCCTGGGTCACCCAGCTAGTAAGTATCTAGGGCCAGATTTGAACTTAGGAAGATGAGTCTTCTGACTTTAGGCTTGATGCTCTATGCACTATGCTGCCACCTAGCTGTCCTCTGGAGATGTACAGCATATAATTAGACCAAAACCAAAAATGAAGCATTTATTAAGTGCCTGCATGTGCTTAGCTGTCATCATGCTAGACTTAGAATCGGGAAGACCTGAGTTCCAATCTAGCCTGAGACACTAGCTGTGTGACGGTGGGCAAGTCACTTAACCTCTGCCTGCCTCCGTTTTCTTATGAAATGGATGCAAATAGAATCTACTTTTCAGAGCTGTTGAGAGGAACCAATGAGATTCCCTTACAGAGCTGTAGAAATGTTAACAGGACTGCCGATGTGTAAGGCACCAAGTGCTCGGGATATGAATCCTGAAAGTAAAACCTTCCCTGCCCTCAAAGAGCTTCCATTCCAATGGAGAAAACAATGACTGTGGTCTGGAATTTCAGAGATGGTGAGTAGAGCCACTGGGCTCTCAATGGCCAGACATAGTGGTGTGGATTTTATTACTGCGCCTAGAACGAGAGAAAGTGGAGGGCAGTACCCCTAGGAAGACGGCTGGCTACCCTGGCTAGGTGGGGGTGAAGTGGACCACAGACCCTGGGGGAATGACAGAACACTTACAACTCTAGAGATCCAAAGAGGGAGCTGGTGGTGGGCAGCATCCCAGCTCAACGCTGCAGGAAGTGAGGGGGTGTGTCACAGCCTGCAGAAGGGTGGGGAGGTGGGCGGCATGTTTGGATGGACAGAGAAGGCACGAAGCAGACTAATAGAAAATCAGCTGAGGAAAGCAGGAGGAGGCAGAATGAAAGACCCAACACGCCAAGGGATTTGTATGTTGTCTTGGAGGCGAGAGGGAGGGCTTCTTCAGCTAGGGGGTGCAGTTGATAAAGCCCTGGGCCTGGAGGCAGGGAGACCTGAATTCAAATCTGACCTCAGACACTTAGTAGCTGTGTGACCCTGGGTGAGTCACTTCACCTTGTTTGCCTCAGTTTCCTCATCTGTAAAATGGGCTGGAGAAGGAAACGGCCAACCCCTCCAGGATCTCTGCCAAGAAAACCCCAAAGGGGGTCAGGGACAGTTGGACATGACTGAAAAATAACAATCACTTTGTGTGTCCTGGACCCCTTTGATGGCAGTCTGGTCAAGCCTACAAAATGACAAAGGAAACTAATGATATTGAAATACAAATGTTACATATTGAAATATCAGAAAATATTAAAATATAGTCAAATATTTAAATATTTATCAAAATGTTAAAGAAAACAAACCAAACCAAAATAGTTCCCTGGGCCCTTGGGGAAGAGCCCCTGGTCACACTTGTGCTTTAGGAAGGTAATTTTGGCAGCTTGGCAGAGGAACACCGAGACTGGAATCGGGGAGAGCAGGTAGGAGAGAGGCCTGCAATGGGCCAGGCTAGAGGGGTGAGCACCTGATGTAAGCGGCACTGCAGAGGTGGCATTAATGGAAAATGAGGGTGAGGAAAGGGTTAAGGATAACGCTCAGGCTGGGAGCTGAGTGACCAGAACAATCAGCATGGTGCCTTCTGTCCAAATAGGAAGGAAGAAGTTGTCCTGTTCTTCCAGGGGCCGTGGGAAGTCCCAAGGTGAGGAAGGCGAAGGTCTAGTTGTTTGGGATGGGGAAGGTGGCAGCCCCTCTGGTCAATGGGCACCTCACTCCCCCCCCCATGTCCTCATCTCTCCGTGTATTAGAGGTGGTTTTCACAGCTGTGGCTGGAAAATTCCTTAGCCTGAAGCCATCCTGTGGGTGAGTGTAGCCTCTAATCTTAGCCAAGGGGATCCTTGACTGGGACATCTAGTGAGATAAAACTGCCTTCCGGGTCCCAGGCTCACTACCACGCACCAGAAGAGAAGCTCCTCTCTACACATACTCTCTTTGTTACTGGTGCATGGCCTCCAATGTGTACTGGCTCTGTGACATTGGTCAAGTCACTTAACTATTTAGTGCTCTAAGCACCTATACGTTACAGAGAAGATGCTAGCCTGTGTTAGTGGAGGGAGTTTCCGTAGTTAGGAGTGCCTTATAAACCTATGAAATGAGAAAGAAGTTTGGCCCTTCTCTCTGTGAGAGAGGCAGGCAGGAGGCAGCCTACCAACAGGAGACCGTGTCGGGCTTGGGGCCAGGAAGCCTGGATGTAAATGTTCCCTGTGACAGGACCTTTGTAATCTCTGGGGTTTGGTCAAGTCTCCTATGTCCCGGAGGGAAGCGGGGGGGGGGGGCAGGAGGTCCCACACAGATTCTTTGTGTCTTGGTACCTGTTGGACTGGTGGTGTAATCAGATCAGAGTTCTGGATCCCCAAGACCCCAAGTCAGAATTGGATCTTGACTGCTGCTAAGCAAACCCAACCCTCATGTGATAGAATGGGACCATTCCATTTAAAGATGCCTTCCACCTCTCAGTCCTATGATCTCATGTTCCCTCCTAGACTACAAACTCTTCAAGATCTGGGAAAGCATCTCCTTCTTGGCACGGTGTCCATGGTTATTAAATGTCTGTTGAATCAAATTGGAATCAGGGGATGGTTCAGATGAGTGCCATGTTCAAGTTGTTACCTTGGGAAGAAATTCCCTGTCCTCTATGAGGATTCTGTGGCTCACACCATCTCTAGGGTTACAAATGTTTGTTGACTGGCTAACTGAGCCAATATGGGTCCCTTAGGAAAATAAACCTTCTACCTTTCACAACATCCATGTCTTCCCTTTCTTTCCATTCCTCTGACCCCTCTCCCTTCCCTGTTCTCTGTCTTTCCCTCTTCTTTTGCCCTCCCTTTCTCCTTCCTCCCCTTCTTCCTCCATCCTAAATGGAGGATCTCACAGTTTGATCCCCCTTCTATCTCCTAGCCTTGGTTTTCCACTTGGGTATTTTCAGAACTGGACCCACCCTCAAAAGTTGCTGATTTGTCTTGAGGCTGTTCAGTAGAATGGGCTGCAGCATTTCAGAGGCTGCAGAAGCTTCTGGAGTTCCAGCCCTGGGAAGAAAGCAGAGCCCTGCCCTGGCCATTCCCTCCCCAGCACCTGCTGTGTCTGTGCAGTGCACGGTGAGGGGGAACAGTAGAGAAAACCCACCACCTTTGTCCTCCCTTTCTTGTTGATGCTCGTCACGGGGCTTCCCTTCCCTTGGAGAAAGTTTTCCGAGTGGATCATCAAGGGGTCACAGATGTAGAACAGGACTGCCAAGGCCACCCAGTTGAACCCTGTCATTTTACAGATGAAGAAACTGAGACACAGGAGGGGAAGATATTTGCCCCAGATCACATAGGCGGCAAGTGGCATCAGTGGCATTTAAACCCAGGTCTTCTGCTTCCAAATCTAGTTCTTCCCACTACCCTAGACTTTCCTTGAAAGACTTTACCTCAAAACCACCTGCGGGCTTGGTCCCTACATGAAAAGGCCCATACTTTCACCAATGACAGAGCCAGCCTGGCTGGGAGGCAGCCTGAGGACACTCTGACCTTGTAATTTTGTATAGTTGACCTTGAATCCTGTCCCCCCTCCCCAGGGGCTTTTGGGCTGTCCCAGCTTCAGGGAGGCCTGATCCCCTGTTTGCATTTCAATTTCAGACCTTCCTTCCCCCTTCTCTTTTCTTTGCAAATAAATTGGTCTTTGTGCTATTCGGAGATGTCCCCCTGGGACTTCTTTCCATTCCTTTGGCTCCTTTCTCATGCCTTGGACTCAGGAAGGTACTTCTGTTTTTCGTGTGGGGTCCTTGCTTTCCCATCGCTGAATCGCCTGTTTGTCCGTAGTCTTTGTTCAGTGTGACTGGCGGCTGAGTGTTGGCATCCTGTTCTGGGTTTTGTCTATCTGTGTTCCGAGTCACTCTTGCCATGGAACATTCTGAATAGTCTTTGGACTGGACTGGACCAGACTGGACCACCGGAGACTGGTCTATCCCCCACTTCTGGCCACAGCTAATCCAAAACCATTCTGAGAAGAAGCTGCCTCCCCTTTCCCAAGACCTAAAGCTGAGAGTCCCCTTTGGCAATGCGCTCTGAGGTCCCCCAGTTCTTCCACTCAGGCATTCTTCCCAAAGTCTCAGCTCACTCAGTTTGACTGCAGTCTGATCTCATTCTCAGATGACCATTCCTTGATAGAAGTGAACTACCTGCTCCCTACAGCTGAAGGTGCCCCTCTATGGGGCTGAAGATTATAACAGAGAGAGTTATATGGGGTGTGCACTGCTGGACCTCTAGCCAGAGATACAGGGCTCAATCCTGATTCCAGCATCTCCTAGGGACCCTGCACAAGGGACTGAACCTTGGAGACTCGATTTTCTCATCTATGAAATGGGGACAATAACAAGGATACTGTGAGGATTGAATTACATAATGCATTGAAAAGTACTTTTCAAACTTTAAATCACCATAGGAATATTAGCTATTATTGTGATCATTATTATTTTTAGAGAATGCTTAAGCATCATTCATGCTATGGTTCCTTTTATAGATAAGGAAACAAAAATTCTTCTCAGAGAGGCTAAGAGATTTGTTCAAGGTCACATAGGATTTCCTAGGCTGGATATAAGCTCAAGTCCTCCTAACTCTCCCTTTGATCCTCCTTGGCCATTTCTGCCATCGTGGTGATTTGTGCTCCTGTCTTATTATTTTCTGTTAGATAATTCTTGTTATCCCTTCTTATCCCCTATTAGATTATAAGCTCCCTGAGAGCTCAGAGAGGCTTTGTCTGATTTCATCTTCATATCCCCAGGACCTAGAACTGTGCCCTACAGGTAATAGGGACTAATCAGTGCAGATTGAATTTTTTTTTATCCAGTGTCTTCTCAATTCAATTCAGCAAATGTTAAATTGAACACCTACTGTTTTACTGATGAGGAAACTGAACCCCAGAGAAGGGAAAAAGTGACTTGCCCAAGTTTGTCCAGGTTAATGAGTGGCAAGGTAGAATTTGAACGAGGGTTTGGCATTGAACTGGGGTCTTCTGACAGTGAAGTGACTTGTTCAAGGTCACACAGCTAGTAATGTGGGTTTCAAAGCCAGGTCTCCCTGTGTTGAGGCAGCACTCTGCCTACTAAACCCTGGTTCTCAAATAGCCTTTGATTTTTCAGCCCTTGTACATTTACTGATCTGGGTTGGGGTCTTATCCAGCCCCCTCCTATGCTGTCAGCTCTCTCTTGAATCCAGGAACTAGAGTAAACCTTGTGGTTTCCCCTTCCTTCTCTCCCCTCCCCCCTCTCCCCCTACACACCTAGAACAGCCATCAGAGCATCCAGGACCTGCCATTTCAGAAGCAGGATACAGCAAGGCTGGGTAGCTAGTCCTAGAGAGCTACTCGCTCACGCTCATATCTATGAATAGATCTGAACCCAGGTGTTCTAACTTCAGATCCATGGCCCCTTCTCTGTGAGCGGACGGATGGATGGACGGATGGATGGACGGATGGATGGACGGATGGATGGACGGATGGATGGACGGATGGATGGACGGATGGACGGATGGATGGATGGATGGATGGATGGATGGATGGATGGATGGATGGACGGATGGATGGATGGATGGACGGACGGATGGCTGGCTGGCTGGACGGATGGCTGGCTGGCTGGATGGATGGATGGACAGATGGATGGATGGATGGATGGATGGATGGATGGCTGGCTGGCTGGCTGGCTGGATGGATGGATGGACGGATGGCTGGCTGGTTATGTTGTGGTTTAGGGGTGCTGGGAACCCTAAAATGCAAGGGTACAGGGCAGGAGTCTGGCTCAAAAGAATTTGACCACTCAAGCCTTCTTTCAGTCCAAGTAACGAGTTTATTATGACGTTGGTTGGGTTAGTGAGATTTCTACTAAATCTGTGGTATTTGTGATGCCAATACAATCAGGCCAGATTCCTAGTGAGTCTGCACATTTGATGAGGACAAAATTGGTACTTTTATATAGAAAAAGACTGAGAAAATCTGGATGGGATCTAGGAGTTGGCAAGCATCCTGGGGTGGTCGGGAAGTAACAGAGAAAGGAACGTGTATGGGATTAAGGAGTGTCAAGTGAGCAAATTAAGTAATCAAGGTGGGCTGGGGTGGGCCAGATACCTCAGCAAACTCCTGGGATCTGGGCCATGTGGGAAAGTCCAGGGCCTTTTAGGGGTCCATCATTAGTGCCCCATCAGTTATGGTCAAGGAAAAAATATTACTACTGTCCTGTGCACTTTAGGCAGAGCCTGACAGAAACAGTCTGTGTTTCTAACACTATTCTAAATCTAAAGCTAGAGCTTAGAGAGATAAATAGACAAATGGGCATAGGTGCCCCCATATCCTGGGACATCTTAGATACTAAGACAAGGTCTATAGGGCTCTGGCAGTTGGGGGTTGACATTCCAGAAACCAATAGTAATTTATTTTAAATAGAACTTATTTGAGCACTCCCCTCACTGATTGACTAGGCTTCCTCCCTAAGATCGGGAGCTTAATCCTTTTTGTATGGAGAAAGGCAGTTGAGTTCCATCTCAGAGAGATCTCCTTTCACCTTAACCTTTGTTCTTAATTCCTTAAAGGTCTTTAAATAATGTTTCTTAATAGTTTCAGTTGAACTGAAAGGGAGGTTTTTAATATGCTTTCACAGCTAGGAAGTCACTTCCTCATTTTACAGAGGGAAAAATTGAGGCTTCTAGGTCCTTAAGTGTGGCCCTTTGACTGAATCTAAACTTCACAGAAGTCTTCATGTTGTTTTAAGCTTTGTGGCCACAGGTTCTCCACTCCTGACCTAGGTCTTCCCATCCAAGGCTCATTCTCTACATGTGATTGACTCCAAGTTGGAGCTTCCCTATTAGAATACTCCAATCCTGGCTTGAGAAGTGATGTGGGTCAAGAATTTTTTTGTTGAGTTGTTTCAGTCATGTCTGACTTTTCATGACCTACTTTGGGGCTTTCTTGGCAAAGATACTGGAGTAGTTTGCCATTTCCTCCTCCAGCTTATTTTACAGATGGGGAAACTGAGGCAAACAGGGTTAAGTGACTTGCCCAGCATCACACAGCTAGTAAGTGTCTGATGTCAGATTTGAACTCAAGATGAATCTTCCAAGCCTGGTGCTCTATCTACTGTGGTGCCACCTAGCTGTCCTCTAGGTCTAGGACCAGAGCTCAATTCAACCGAGCAAGCATTTATTTATTTATATTCCTGGTGTCCCTGCCCTTGATGAGCTTGCATTATTATGGGAGGGAAGGGAGGGTGGTGCACAGCATGAGGCCTTCCTTGGCTGTTCCTGTCTGATAGCAGCCCACTTTGCCCTTGAGTTATACCCCCTTCCTTGCTCAGTGAGTGCCCATATGGTGGTGTCCACACAGGTAGAGGGTTTTCTCCCAGTAAGGCAGGGACATCCAGGGGAAAACTATAATGCTTCAGACACACACCACCCTCCCCCCTTTCCCCTAAGGCACATCCATTAACACTGATCCCACTGGCTAGCTTATCTTATATCCTATGCCACAGAATTCTGCTTGCTGCAGGAGAAACAAGGCGGCTTTGAGCGAGAGAGTACAGATGGCCCCGATCACCTGGATGCTGGGATCTTTGGAGAGTTCCTCTTCCTCTTCACGCCAGACGCTGTGGATGGGAATTCTGAGGCTGCAAAGCTCGTGCCTGCGGAGGGGCCATTAAGCTCCTTAAAAGATGGTATTATGAGCAATGGGTAACTTAATTAGTCCCTGAGTTGGCACTCAGTTGGGGAAATGCCCTTGCCAAATGGTTAATGTGGTGGCTCACTTTATTTTTATTTTGTAAGTGTAGATGTTTTATTAATGCTCTTTTTTTTTTGGTTAGGCAGTTGGGGTTAAGTGACTTGCCCAGGGTCACACAGTATTAATGCTCTTTTAAATGAGGGGTTCTGCCCAGATGGCCTCTGAGGTTCCTTCCTGCTCTAAATCCTACCTTGGGACCTTGAACAAGCCTCTTCAAGCTCCTTTTGATCTCAGTTTGCTCATCTGTAAAATGAGAGTATTAGATAGGATGACCTCTGAGATCCCAAGATCTATGACCCCATAATTCTGAGACCTCAGGTCTTGGATTCCTTATGAAGAAAGGATGAGGAGGTTTTTTGGGTTTTTTTTTTAAATGGAGATGGGGAAGGCTTTAACATTTTTCTCAACCACAGAAGCCTTGCTAAGAATAGCTAGTCATCAGCAAGAGTGGCAGCATGGGCTTGTGCATCTGTTTTTCTTACATTCTTGGCCTCGCTGCCAGCACCAGCACCAGCACCACGCTGTCAGCCGCACAGAGCACCCTTTCAGATCATTTACCACGTGGCAAGGTAGGGTCTGGCTGGGCGCATGGGTAGAGACTGGGCAGCCATTGGTGACACTTCTTTTGCCTCCAGCCTTTTGTATCTGGAGAGGTTTTGGTTGGGGGTGGGGATGGGCCTTGGGAAATGGAACTGGAGATGGGACAAAAATAAAGGAGAGCATGGGATCTCAGTATGTTGGTGTCTGAGCCAGTCAGATCCATGAGAAACAGGGTGGTCCTGAAGACCAAAACAGTGAAAGCAAATGCTTATGGCCAGGAGAATGACCTGGGATGGGGCTGTCGGAGCAGAGGCTCATGGTCTCAATCCTATGTGCTGTCCCAAAGAGAAATAGGCTGCTTAGGGAGAGAGGGACTTCCCCCTCCCTGGGGGCTTTCCGGGGGAGGTGGATGAGCTTTCAGTGGGGGCTCTCAGAGTGGGGGGGGTCTTATCCAGGAAAGGCTCAGACAAGAGGGCCACTGAAGTGCCATCAAACTGGGAGATTCTGTGACTTAGATTTGAACCAGAGAGTAACAAGAGCTGACATGTATATAGCACTTTGTTGTCTAGTCATTTTTTTCAGTCACATCTGACTCTTCATGCCCCCATTTGGGGTTTTCTTGGCAGAGATACTGGAGTGGTTGGCCATTTCCTTCTCTAGCTCATTTTACAGATGAGGAAACTGAGGCAGACAGGATTAAGTGACTTACCCAGGGTCACACAGCTAGTAAGTGTCTGAGGCCAGATTTGAACCCAGGTCTTTCTATCTCCAGGCCTGGCACTCTATCCATTGTGCCACCTAACATATTATATAGTACTTTAAGGTTTGCAAAATCCTTTACCTATATTCTTCTTATCCTCCCAACAAACCTGTGAGATGGGTGTGACTATTTTACAGATGAGGAAACTGAGACAAATAGCTTAAGCAACTTTCCCAAGGTCACAGCTAATAAGTGTCTGAGGCAGGATTGGAAGCCAGGTGTTCTGGGCGCTCCTTCCACTCTGACATGCTGCCTCCTTTCAAACAATCTCTCTGAGATATCATTTAGTCCAAGCCCCTTATTTACAGGTAGGAAAGAAAACTGGCTGACAGAGGTGAGTGAACTTGCCCCAGATCTCCCGTGCCCAGTACTAAGGGATGGATTAGGTTTAGATTAGCCAATGGATAGTTCTAGATGGTTCCAAATGCCCACAGGTCTGTGTTAAAAAAAAAACCTGACACCTCTTCGGGGCTCTGGGGATTGGTGCTCCGTTTCTATGGAGAAAATGTCCACATTAAGGCACCAGAGGGGAGGGCTGAATTGTAGAAGATCTCCCAGTCCAGGGGGAGGCTATTCTCATGGGAGGGCAGTCATGGGGTGGTATGGATTTCCATGGCTACTTAAATGAGGTAAGAAGGTAGGGTCTCAGCAGTGGGGGAACCACAATGTCAGTCCATGCTGTGAGAAAGGACAAGACCTCCCCAGTGCCGTCCACCTGGCAGCCTGATTGGCCTGGGAGGGTGCCCCCTTTCAGAAGCCCAAGAAAGCAGGCAGGCAGAGGGGGATGGACCTGGGAACCTCAAGGTTTCCACTCATCTCCCTCAGCCTCTAGTTCTAGCCTTCTTCTGAGTATTTGTGAGGCACTCTCCTGGGTGCTGAAGACAAAGACAAACCAAATTGTCTCTGCCCTCCGACAAGGTGTCCCCAAAATCTTTATGCTATTTTAAGTTATTAAAGCTAAAAAGCTTAAACCAACATGAAGACTTTGGGGACATGCTGTATTTAACTGGTGAGACATAACATGTGGCCAAAAAAATACAAAATATGTGCAAAGTAAACACAAAGTTATATATTTGTATGTGTAGTAATTTGTATATGCATATCTGTATGACTATATGCATATATATATATATACACACATGTGTATATTTTAATAATTATTATTTACATAGTGCTTACTGTGTGCCAGATGCTGCGCAAGTGATCTACAATTATTATCTCACTTGATCCTTACCACAAACCTGGGAGGTAGTTGCTGTTGTTATGCCCACAAATAAGGAAACTGAGGCAAATAGGACAGGACTTCCCAGAAATCCTAAGTAACTGACCCAGTTAATATCCATTGAGTTGTTTCTCACCAAAAAAAATAATGAGGCTTTAAGATCAACATTGTCTCTTCCTCCGCCCTGTGGGTGGGACTTGACCACGTTCTAGCCGGGCAGAAAGCCGAAGACTTAGAGAGGACCGTTTGGCCTGAGTTGATGTACCCAGTGTGGGAAATGGCACTGAGGGGAAGGATGACAAGGGGCTGCAGAAAGCCAGAGCCCCTGTTCTCTCCTGGCAGAGGCTAGCGGTGGGCTGGGGCCCAGGCCACATGGTCTTGTTGCTTCCACAGGGTTGCTGCTCTTGGAGAGGAATTTCCGTCCCTTTGTGGAGCTGTCAGGGCATCACCAAGCAGCTCTGTGTGAAATCCTCTGGGAAATCCTGTTCAACGATGAATTGGTGGTGGCCCTGGACACCATGGTAAGGGAAAGGGCCTTCGAGCCTCATGACTTCTTTTACTTTCTCAACCGTGACTGGCATAAAGTAGGTGCTTAGAAAATATTTCAACTGAGCCAGATTCTGGACTTAGGGGGAAGTGGATACACAGCTATAAGGGAAATCACAGTTCCCTAATCATCCTTATCATTCTTTGCATGTGTGTGTGTATGTATATATGTACATATGTGGGGGGGGTGTAAAGAGAGCGAGAGGGAGTGAGAGAGAGAGAGAGAGAGAGAGAGAGAGAGAGAGAGAGAGAGTCAGTCATACAGGTAGGGAAGGAGAGAATTAAATCCAGGGCCTCAGTTTCCTTATCTGTAAACCAAGGGGTTGTACCATATGATCTCTGAAGCCTCTTCTAGCTTTAGACATTTCCTTATCTCATCCTCTGACTTCATATCCAGGGTCCTTTCCATACTTCTTTGATAGCCCACTTTGGTTACCACTGCCAGGAAGATGGGGGTCAGAGGGCCAGGAGCTACTCATCTCCCTCCCCAAATGATCCATGTGGACATAGAATTGGCTACCCCAATAGGTAGAGGATTCCCTCCTGGTAAAAGTTGAAAAAAAAAGTTTAACTGATGTGTGATTTTTAGTATTTGTCACCATGTGACCTTGGGCAATTCACTTCATCTCTGTGGCCCTCTCTTTCTGCAGCTCTAGAGAGGGAAGACAGGAATGGATGACAAGTGAGGCCCCTTCAGCTCTAAGCACCACCCCACCCCCACCAAACTAGCTTGTCTGTTATTCCTTATACCTCATACCTGACTCCATCTACCACCTCTCTGCCTTTGCACAGGTCAGGCCTCATGCCTGGAGTGCTCTTTCTCTCATCTTTGCTTCTGAGAACCCCTTACTTCCTTCAAATCTCAGCTGAAATGCTGCCTTCAACTTGAGGTCTTTCCTGATTACCCCCCTCTCCCAGCTGCCATTGCTTGCACCCATTCCCTTTTAAAGGCGGCTACATAGTGCAGTGGAGAGAGTGCTGAACCTGGAGTGAGGTGGATCTGAGTTCAAATCTGGCATCAAACACTTATTAGCTGTGTAACCCTGGCCAAGTCATTTAACCTCTCTCTAACTCAGTTCACTTAGCTGTAAAATGAAGATAAAATGAGGTTATATTTCCGAAGCACTTTGCAAGCCATCAAATACCATAGAAATGCTAGCTAGTATTATTTTATTTACATTGTCCAAACTCATCTGTGTACCTGTTGTTTCCCCCTGAAGAATGCAAGTTCCTTGAGGACAGACTCTCATTTGGTTTTTGTCTTTATATCCTCAGCACCTAGCAGAGGCCCAGCACATAGTAGGTCATCAATTAGCAGTTGTTGGCACTTAGTAGGTGATTAATGAGCATTTAGTGATTGATTGATTCTTGTCTTAGGTACAGGTTGGAATAGAGGGTCCTGTAGGTTCCGTGACACCATCTCTCTGGGGATTATTGGTCATGTATATGTTGGGAGCAGGAAGGAAGGAATGGAAAAAAAAATTAAGCATTTACTAGGTGACAGAGACAGTGTGTCATGGTGGCTAGAGCTGACCTCAAAACCAGGAAGCCTTAGATTTGAGTCCTGCCTTTCATTCATCCTGGCTGTGTGACCCTGGCCAAGTCATTTACCTTCTTGTTCTCTAGGCAACCAAGGCTCTAAGTTGCAGAGAAGGTACTGACCTGCATTGGTGAAGGGAGTTTCTCCACCTGGGAGTTCCCTATATCAATGAGTTCCTGTTCCCAGACTCTATTTCGGCCTCTATCCCTGATTAGGGGCCAAGCTCTGAGCCTGGGATGACCCTCACCTTCCGAAGTGTGCTTTCTGCCTCCGATTCCGTGGAGAAGTCACTTACCTCTCTAGGTCTCAGTTTTCCTATCCGTAAAATGAAGGGATTGGATTAGATGACCTCTAAGTGTCCTTTCAGCTCTAGATCTGGGATCCTATGCCTTTGCCAGCTGCTGCTGTCTATCCCTACATAATCTGGGTGCCTCTTTCTGTCTTAACTCCTCATTTCTTTAAACACTAACAGTACAGACCCTGGCAACTGTGTGGCTTCAGTGTAAGGAGAGGTGGGCAGCGGGGCCAGGAAGCCCATTGGCTTTATTCAGGGCAAACAGAATAAGGGGTGCTGGACCTTGTTCTCTTTCTTAATTATTCTGCTGGTGAGGTGAAGTTCCCGAAACTCCTAATGTGGCCATGGCAGAAGCCGGCTGGCTGCCAAACAACCTTCTCTCTGGCCCTTGGGGACAGCTCTCATTCACTTCAAGTGACTGATGGGTGAAAATAAATCAGTCCAATTTTTAATTAACTCTTTTTTTTTTTTGGCAGAGGCTTCTGGAGCTTTGACTTAATACCTTTCCATTCCTTAAAAAGACTTTCCATGTTTTCTTCCTGTTGAAATCAGACTATGCCAGGGAGCCTGGTAGCTGCACCCTCAGCCTGTGACTGTGGCTACAGGGCACCTGCTACCTGGCTGGGCCATACCCTGCTCACGCTATTTGGCCCCAAGCACTGGAGGCAGCCTGTCCTGGCTGAATGGTCCCCTGAGTCTTACGTCCCCAAATAGTTCTTCTTTAAAAGTGAAATGTCCAGCAGGCTTCCTGCCATCTCCCTCCCCCACAGATGTCCCACCATGCCGAGTAAAGAGCTCTACCTGCCCTGACTCATGTGGGAAAGGAAAGAATGGGTGGGGAAACCTTAATGTGGAGAGGCGAGGGCTCCTGTCCTGGAGAATGAAAGTCTCCTTTCCAGTAAGCATTTATTAAGCACCTGTTAGGGGCAGAAAAACAAAAATCAGCTTTGATCTGCTGGGAGTGAGGGGAGATTCAGCCTGGGAACCAGATGATCTTAGCTGTGGAGCTGGACAAGGTCCTGGAGGGTTTCTGGTCATCATCTTGCAGATGCTAAGTACACAGATGAGAACTGGGTCTAGCCTTGTGATTCCACTGGTAGAGGGAACTTCCAGGGGAGGAAACTCCTTCTCTCAGTGCAGGTTGGCACCTTCTCTGTCACTGGGAAACTTATCCAGAACCTTGAGAGTTTCCACAGCAGTCTGTCCAAGGCAGGACCCGGCTCTGGGCTTCCTGGCTTTGAGGACAGCTCTCTGTGTTACACTGCCTTTCTAGGAATGCAGAGAAATGTTTGCAAAATATTGAAATACAAAACAATTTTAGGGGGAAGGGCATTAACACCTGGGAGACTCATGGAAGGCTTCTTGGAGGAGGTGGCACTTGAGCTAAGCCTTGAGGCAGAAGTGAAGTTCTTGGAGCATTTCTGGGGAACAGCCTGTACAAATGCCCAGAGGTGGGAAATGGAATGTTGTGGACAGGAGCAGGAAGAGGGTAATTGGGCTGCAATGCAGAGTGGGCATGAGGGAAGTGACATGCACTAATCCTTTAGTAAATAGATATGACTGGGGTCTGGGGGTGGACCTGAGGGGTTTCTAACCAACTTCTCCCCCCTCTTTTGGCTACTCTTCTCCAGAGGAACTGATTAGCTGGATTCAGATCCCCGCCTCAGGGTCCTAGCAAGAGCTCTGAGTTTTAGACCCAAAGGCAAAATACCCTGATGTTCACCATCAGCTGCCTTTGCCCAACTTGGAAGGCTATGTAGCCACACTTTGGGGGTTTCTTCCTTGTTCTGTATCTTTCTTCCTTAGAGAAAATTAGTCACCCTGTCCCCTTCTTTTCTTAAATTGATTGTGCTTATGGAATGTCTTTTTAAACCTACAGTTTCCATAAGGGAAACTTTCTTCCCAGTGTTTGATTATTTAAAAATAGTCATAGCCTTTAAAATATTCACTTTGCATATGTTTTTTATGGAGGGAGAGGTGTGTGCATGTGTGTGCGTGTGTGTGAAGCGAGGAGCATGGAAAGAACTGTTCCTAATATTTCTTAGCTCTCAAAAGCTCCCAGTTTCCTAGTCCCGATTCCAGGCTAGAGGTGTCTGCTGGCTTGCATTCAAAATGAACAAGCATTTGGTTGCCAACATATCTCCTGTCTTGCCTTCCTTCAACCTGCAGCTTGATGACCTCTTTACGGGTGGAAGCCCCCAGCTGACCACACTCACGGAGCTGAGCCACGTCCAGCAGCAGCAGCTCGCTACCTTCCTGGGGCTGGCAGGACTCCAAGTGCAGAAGGATTTGCTGGTGCGGCAGGATACTCGGAGCAATCAGGAATTGCTGTCCACCATCTATTTCTTCATCAGTGCTCTGGCAGGTATGGGAAAGAAAAAAAAAGTCGTACCCTGTGCCTAGAAAACTGACTTTGGGTTTCAATCTGTGAGTCTTCTGCCATGCCCATTCTAATTGTGGTGGGGAGAGTTGGAACGTACAGATCACAAGGGCAGAAGATCATAGATTTATCATAGAATTTGAGAGTTAGAAGGCAACTCAGTGACTGACTGGTCCAACCCACATGTGAAAAGAATCCTTCCCTCTATCATATCTAATGAGGTTAGAATGAGAAAGGATGCGGAAGGTCACCTCATTTTACAGATGAGGAAACTGGTCTATTAATATGTGACTTATCTAGGGTCACATAGCAGTAAGAGACAGAGCTGGGATTTGAACCCAGGTACTTCAAATCTCTTTCCATTGAACCTTGAAGTCATATATTTATAACTGGATGGGACCCTGCAGGCCTTTACTGATGAAGAACCAGAGGCTTAGGGTCATATAATAACTTGCCAAAGGTCACATAGGTAGTAAATTTGAACCCAAGGTCCTGGCCAGTCCATTCTTGGACAGATCTCATTATTCAGCAGTGTTTTTGGGTGTGAAGCCTAAATCTGCCTCTCTAATCTCACCCACTGCTGGTGGGTCTGTTCGTTAGAACAGAGGAAGGCAGTCTACTCTCCCTTCTAAGGGTATATCTCCATCCCTTCCCACAGTGAAAAAAAGCCAGATCCCTGTAGCCATGCCCTAATTCCATCCTATGCCAAATCAGGGAGTGATTCTGAGCCACCCTGAGGATTCTCCCCTTAGTAGGGGCTATCAGCGACCTCAGGAGCGGGGGACTCGAGCTGGGCCACTGGGAGGGGACGGCTCCCTGCCTGCATCATCGAAGCTGCTGGTACCTCAGTTATGGGAGGATAGACCTTGTTTATCCAGCTGCCCCTCACCCAGGCAGCCTTGAGGAAGAAGGACCCAGCATGGGGTCCTTCCAGTGAGCATTTACTCAGGACCTGCTAAGTCCCAAGCGCCCAGCTTGGTGCCAGGGAGCCAAATACAAAGAATGAAAGAATTCCTCCTCACAGGGGGTTTGCATTCTACTGGGGGGAGGCTACAAGTACATATGCAAAGGTACACAGCTTATCTAAAGTAAATATGAAGGCTGAACAGTTAACCGTGAGGCAGGCTGGGAGGGAGGATGCCGGCCACGGGGGAATCAAGGACAGGCATCACGGTGGCTCCTGAGGGACTGCCCCGCTTGGGGTCCCTGGCATGGAGCCGTAGCATCAGGCCACCACCGAGGGACTGCCAGGGACTCCCCCTGGCCCGTTTCCCAGCCCACAGAGAAGCTAAGAAAGCAAGAGATGCCTCTCTCAGCACTGGGCACCTTCTGAAAGGAAATTTTGTTCCCTTTTCATCCCCCCAGAAGGGATGAACGGGAAAAAGGGGGGCCTCCTTAGTCTCCTTGGAGTTTTCCCTCAATGGTATCACTAGGGAAACTTGGGGGTGGGGTCCTTCCCCCCCTGGAAAAAAGTTGTCAGTTGAAGAACCAAGAATAGAGGCCGTGTGTGTAGAATGGGTTAGCAGATCACACCAGACCAGGAATGGGAGAGCTAGGCTCTAGCCAGGCCCCCCCTATAGCTGTGTGACCTTGGGTAAGTCACATCTCTGGCTTTTCTCACGGGGGTCTAAGATTGTCTTTGTCCCCATTCCCCCATTGACGTCCTGGGGGACTTTATCATCCATAGTGTTGCATTTGACATCCTGTCCTGCTCCATGAACTCCGTGGGTCCCTGGGGCCAGTCTTGACTCGGCTTCAGCCACTCAGGATCTGGGCAGCCAGCTGTATCCAGAGTCTGGCCACGGCTTTACCTGGTTCATCCTCTAAGGCTCCTCCTGAAGCTCTGGAATGCCCCTATCTGGGCACAGCCACCCAGCTTTTACCTTCTGCTGGGCAGCCCAGTGGGGAGGGGGCCAGATCTGAAAGCTGAGGCCCTAAGCACTAATACCACCTGCGGGATTTTGTGGGGCCTCAATCAAACTAACATGAATTAAGTGCCTACTGTGTGCCTGGCAGTGTGCTGAGTACTGGAGATGCAAAGAAAGGCAAACAGTCCCTGTCCTCTAGGAGTGCACATTCTGAGGGGGAGACCACATAAACAACTGGGTGCATTCAAGATACATGCAGAGCAGATGGAAATTAGCCTAGAGAGGAAGGCACTGCTATTTGGGGGAAGGGGGGCCAGGAGCAAGATAGTACAGTAGATAAAGGGCTGGACCTGAAATCAGAAAGACCCCGAGTTCAAATCCAACCTTAGAGACTTACTGTACGACTTGAGCCCAACTCTGCCTCAGTTTCCTCATTGGTAAAATGAGGAGTTAGGAATGTACACGTAGAGCCTATATCAGATAGGATGCCCTCTTGGGGAGAGTGGTGGGGAGGGAGGGGGAGAAAAATTTTAAACTCAAAAGCATATGGAAGTGATTGTTGATAAATCAAAATAAATTAATATAAAAAAATGAGGAGAATAATAGCATGCACTTCCCAGGGTGGTGGTGAGAATCAAGAGGTCATATTTATAAAGTGCTTAGCTATGAAAATTCTAACTTATTACCAGGAAGGTACAGAAGGGAGAGTTTGAACTCAGGGGTGAAGGGAACCGGGGAAGCTAAAGGGATGCGGTGGAGGGAAGGGTGGCAGGGAGAGCCTTCCAGGTATGGGGGACCTTGCAAAAGCCTGGGGGGATTTCTCTGGGGCTTGGCTTAGTATGGCGAGGCTAGCTGCTCTGTAGTTCAGCGCTCTGGCTGGGTCTGCTCCACGCCCTGTGCTCTGCTGGCCCTTCCACTGCAGGCCAGCCCTTCTGGGTCTCCCCTCCACTCCCTGACAGACCTTTGGCTCCAGACTTTTTCCTTCCCAGCCCCCAACTCTGCCCACACCGTCCCCATCCGCTCCCAGACCACCAAAAAGTCCTCTTTCCCTTGTACTTTGCTTTGGCTACTTCTGTCCGTTTTCTGGTTACGCTCTCCGCTTTGTGCCCGTTCTCCATCCCTCTCCCCCAGTCTCTCTTATTTGCACGTACAGCTTTGCCTGCATTTGGCCTCTGGCCCTTCTTGTCTCCTTGATGGGGTGTGATCTCTCTGAAGGCAGACTGTTTTCATTTATGCCTTTGGTTCCCCAGCACAGTGCATGGCACATTTGTTGTTATTCAGTCATTTCAGTCATGTCTGACTCTTCCTGCCCGCATTTGAGGTTTTCTTGGCAGAGATACCGGAATGGTTTGCCATTTCCTTCTCCAGCTCATTTTACAGATGAGGAAACTGAGACAAACAGGGTGAAGTGACTTGTCCAGGGTCACACAGCTAGTATGTGTCTGAGGTCGCATTTGAACTCAGAATGATGAGTCTTCCTGACTCCAACGCCCAGTACTCTATGTACTATGGCGCCACCTCGTGGCCCATGTAGCACATAGTCGGTGCTTAATAAACTTGCTGATGGTTGCACATGTGTAACCTAGACCAAATTGCTTACCATCTCAGGGAGGGGGGAGGTGAGGGAGAGAGGGAGGGAGAAAATTTGAAACTCAAAGTTTTTTTTAAAAATTGAACAAAAAAATTTTTTAACAAAATTTACACATAAGTTGGGAGGGGGGATGTAAAATATTATAAATTATGTACCAAAAATAAATAAGTTCTTGCTGATTTGGAACATAACTGAGTTTCCCCTTTGGGCCTAAGTTTCCTCACCAGGAAAATGAAAACTGAGCTTCCTTTTAGGTCTCTTCTAGCTCCAAAATCTGTGATCCTGTCTTCTCTGTGATCCTGCTTCTGTACTCAGCTCACTCATTGATCTTTAAACCTCTGCTAGAATCAATCAGTTAACATTTCTCAAGGGTCTGCTGTGTGCCAAGCATTGTGCCATGCTCTGGAGATACAAAAAGAGGCAGACAGAATGTGACTTTGGATGGCTGGGTGGAGTCATGTATAAGGTGCTGGATTTGGAATCTGGAAGACTTGAATTCAAGTTCTGCCTCAGATAATTTACTAGCTGCATGGGTGAGTCACCTAACTTCAATCTGCCTGTTTCCTTATTTGTATAATGGGGGTCACAACTGCACCCACTTCACAGGGTTGTTATGAGGGTCCAATGAGACATGATATTTATAAAGCAGGGCTGGACAGGTGCTAGTTATTACTGACTAAATATGTAGACTGTGACCTCTCTACACAGTAATAGACAGTCTTCAGAATTGCTGTGGTTCAAAAAACAATGCCATTTCTCAATGGCCAGTGTACCTCAGATTATATTGGAAACCTAGGAATTTGAGTTTGTTATTCTGATCCTGGATGAGCCAGTCTGTCTCCAGAACTGTCGTGGAAGTCTTTTGAGCTTGGCAAGGACCCACCACTGCCCATGGCCTTCCCAGGAGATAGTCTATAGGAAAGAGAAGATCAAAGGTGCTAATATTTTAATTTATAATGCTTTATAAATGCAAGTCATTATTTTTATTAGATTTTTGATTACTTAAATTATTACTATTATTATTAGATGCTGATGCTGTGTCCATCAGATAGATGCTTCAGTGAGATAGTGATATTGGAGTATAAACTCAAATGGAGGGAAAACAAATTTCATTTGTTCCGAGAAGCAGCCCCTTATTATGTGGATGTTAGCGATTTTGAAGGTCAGTCCTGGTTTAAGGCTCTTTCATCAATACTCATTGCTTCTGTCTCTGTTTCCCCCTCACTAAATTCATCAGAGTGCTCTATGTCTTCTGGGATACACAAGAAATGTTAGAATGATGAATGGGCTGGCATACTCATTTTTTTTTCAGTTTCCTAAATAATAACACCTTCTGTTTCTACGTGAGGCACAATACGAAGTGGAGATAGTTGATGCTGGCATCAAGAAGACTAGGGTTCAAGGTTTGCTTCTGACAGGTACTGGCTCTGGGTCCCTAGGCAGTTCATAGGATCATAGCTTTAGTGTTGGAAAGTTCCTTTTTTTTTTTTCTTTTGGTGAGGCAACTAGGGTTAAGTGACTTGCCCAGAGTCACACAACTAGTGAGTGTTATGTCTGAGGCCACATTTGAACTCAGGTCCTCCTGACTCCAGAGCCAGTGCTCTATCCACTGCGCAACCTAGCTGCCCCATGGAAAGTTCCTTAGGGATCAGCTCTCACAATTTGCAGATGAGGAAACTAAGGCATAGAGAAAGTGACTTACTCAGTCACACAAGCAGTAAGTATTAGCTTCTCAGTGCCCCAGACAGCTCTCTACTTAGAAGATGATCCTGATCTCTATATGTGGAAAGAGTTTAACTATGGAGACTTCCCTCTACCTGTGGAATCATGGGTCCTCAGGGGGGATGGGAAAAGTTTGTTGACTCATTAACTCTTCAAAGTTCCCCCTCTTTGGGAATGACTTTGGTCAAGTCATTTCATGTCTGAGCCTCCAGTTTGCTTAGCTTTAAAAACTGGAGTATCCATCAATAAATTAATCATCATCATCTGCGTAAGTGGACAGAGAGTGCCATACTTACTAGCTGTGTGACCCTAGGTGAGTCACTTGACCTGTTTGCCTCAGTCCCCTCATCTGTAAAATGGGGTTAATAATAGCACACATCTTGCAGAGTTGTGAGGATCAAATGAGATACATGTAAAGCACATAGCCAGCACTGCCATTTTAGTTATTATCATTTATTTGATCCTCACAAGAACCCTGCCAGGTAAGTGCTGAATGCCTGCTAATTGCCTGGCATGTACTGAGGCTACAAAAAGAGGTATGATACTCCCTCCCCTTACACAGCTTGAAATCCACTTGGGGGAAACTATTCTGTCTGCCCTCTTTACTGGATTATCATAAGGATTCAATGAGATAATGTGTGTGAAAAGAACACTGGGAGCTGTCCAGCGCTACATCAATCTGAGATAAATTACAGGATAAATTACATCTCTTCTCTCATTCCAAACTTGCGACTGCCCTGTTCAGGAACAGAAGAGTTATTAATGGCTCCTCAGGAAAGAGCTAATTAATGGTAGAGCCAGACTCAGGATCTCTCACTTCTGCCTCCAAAATGTACCTGTTCTTCCAGACATCCCTCATGCTTCTTGCCTCCTATTTTTGGGGGCGGATGCTGGGCAGAGCTGGAACTTGTGGCAGGAAAGGTAGGTAGCTTCCTAGGGCACAAGACATAGTGGGTGCAAAGAATACAACACTAAATTTTTTTTAATGTCCTCCTTTTTTGATGCCAGAGAATTTCTCTGTGGCTTGAATTTGTGATAAGGCAAGTGGCATGAGTTATAATGAAGTCTCATGCCCTCTAGTGGAAGGATGACCCACTAGGTGGTTGGGAGGGCGCTCCTGAGGCTTTGCCCAGGGTAAACCAGAATTTCTCCCAGCTCTGCTTTGGGGTCTGTTCATCATAGCAGCAGAAGCGTTATGCTGCTGTAGGGTCCCGGAGGGGTAGTGGGGAAGGTGAGCTGCCCTAGAGCAGCTTGGGAAAGGCCTTCCAGGAGCTCAGGGTCCTTTCTTCGCTCCCCTGCATCCCCACCTTAGTCCCCAAGAACCCAGAGCAGGTTCTGCCCGCACTGAGCACGGAAAGGCTGCTGGTACTCCCCTCCCCTCCTCTCCAGGTGTTTATCCTGGGTTGACACCATCCCTAGAGAAGCCACCATTTATAAATAAAGCTGTTAATTATTGCAAGAGGATGAGAAGGGCTCAGAAATCACTCGTGGGTGAGTGTCACCATGTGAAAGATGGTGAGGACGTCCATTTCCGTCTCCTTCCTCTTTTTCCATTTCCTTCGAACTCTGAATGAAAACAAAGATTCCAGGTGGCCCAGAAGAACTTTGTGGTTTGTGGCTTAGGGGAACAGGGGCCCCCTTCTAGGAGCTGCCATTCCCTAGCAGGTCTCAACATAATTTCTGTGTGAGTGGGGTACTCAATCCTGTTTTTTGATGTTCTTTTGATTCTCTTTGCCCTTTGTACCACATACTTCAGACTCGACGTCCATCCTCGCCCTCTCCTCTGGGCTCTCCTGACTCTGGGCGTTCTCTGCCGTGCCCCGCCCCTCTCCCTCCCCACGTGGCTAGTCTCCTCCCTCTCGCCAGTCTCCTTACGCCTTCTCCAGGGCAGGTGCTTTCCGCTTGTATTCCTGTTGCCAGTGTTTATAGCACATTAAGCCCTGAATAAATGCTTGTTCATTTGGCGGCACCACCACTATGTGACCGCCATACCCAGGGTGGTGTGGGCTGCTCCCTCCCTGTCTGGCTCAGCGTCGGGGCTGGAGAAGCCCTGGGTTTGAATCCTTCCTCAGTTGCAGAACAAGACCTCAGTCTGATTCTACGATCATAGGACATGTTCTTCCTTTGTCAGTGACTCCGGCTTCTGTCTTTGCAGAGATGCCAGACAACACACCCGCTCTGATGGGCATTTGCTGCAAGCTACACATGGTGCCGGCATTGTGTCACTTGGTAAGGAAGGAACCTCGGGAACTGAGGTGGGGAGGGAGGCCCAAGCCCTTAGAGGCCATCCAGGCCAACAGATGAGGAGAGTGAGGCCCCAAGAGGCAAAGCCCCTTGTCGAAGTGGCAGGGGTAGGATTTGAACCCAGGATCTGTGACTCTGAATGAGTCTCCGTGGGAAACCAGGTTGTTCCAAGACAGCTCGGGGAGGGGGATGTGGCCTGGCATTTCTGCCATGCTCAGGACTGGCCAGCTAGTTCGTGGGGACGTGACAAGCATATTAAATTAGGACTGTTGGCCTTACTAGTTCTTCGCAGAATGACATTAGCCTGTTCCCCTCAAGAAACGTCATCAAATGAGAGCTGGTCGGTCTGCTCATCCCCAGGGAGTCAAGGGAAAGCTTTTCCTTTCAATGTGGGTCATTAATAAAGCAGCATCAGGAAGCGGCCCCCGTTAACGGGGTCCAGCGGCTCCTCTGTAGGGGACGTGACACCTGGGACAGGAAGAGCTGAGCTGACAATAGGAACCTGGGTCTAAGTGCCTAGGCCTGAGGCTGCTCCCCTGGGGGGGGTGAGGGGACAGGGAGGGAGGGTGAAGCCAGAGAGATCTCCGATTGCTGATGGTATGGCCCCGGGTGGCAGGGAAAGTAAATCCAGGTTCTGGGGTCAATTTGGCCCAGGAAAAAAATAAGAATTTTGCTGATTGCATGGAGGAAGCCACATGTGTGGCCCCTGGTCCAAGAAGCATTTTTAGAACCTACTGTGTGCAAGGGATTTGTTTAAAAAGGCCTCTGGGCCTTTAAGGAGCGTGTGTTCTACATGGATGAGGGGGAAGACGCAGCATGTCTTCAGTAAATGTCATCAGTAAATGCAGGTAACTCGAGGAAGGCAAGACAGACCGGGGTGATGGAGAGGCATCCTGGAGGGCGTGGTGCTGAGCTTTGACGTCAGCAAGCACTCAGAAAGCACCTACTGCATGCGAGATAGGGTGCTGAGCCCTGAGGACATCAGAAAGCTGGGGGGGGGGTCTGCTTGTAGGGAGCTCACATGTGTGCGCATACATGACAAACAGCAGCTCAGCGACACGGGACAGGCCATAGAACTAGAAAGGATCACAAGTACCTCTAAGCCTGGGAGGGAGGGAGGGAGGGAGGGCTGGCCACTATAGTACAGCCAGCCACATGACTGGCATTGTCCTCCATAATCTGTACTCATTCCCTGGTCACTGGGCAGACAGTCCCTGAGCACCCCCAAGGTAGGGAACACGCATTGATTAATAAGCACCTACTATACGCCAGGCATTATGCTAGGCACTTTACAGCCGTCATCTATTTGATCCTTTAAAAGCCTGAAAGGGAGATACTTTTATCATCCCCATTTTACAGATGAGGAGCCTGAGGTAGGCAGAGGTGAGGGGGCTTGTCCAGGGTCTCCCAGCTATTGAGTCTGAGGTTGGATTTGAACTCCGGTCTCCCTGACTCCAGGCTCAGTGCCTTGTGCACTGTCCCCAGAGCCGGGGAATTGCTGGCTTTCTCAGGTTCTGCTCTGAGTGAGCAAAGGAGGGTGTCCTAATAACAGCTTTTCCAGAGGAGGGGGTAGGAAAGTGTCCAGCATTTACAAGGTAGTCTAATCTCTTAGCAAAGTACTTAAAAGAAAAAAAAAGTGTCAACTCAAAGACCTTTTGGCCTTCACCTCCACTTAACAATTCCATTTGGAGGTGTGATCCCCATCATCATCTTTCCCTCTGCTTCCACGTGTGAGTGTGATGAGACTGAGCCATGGAGAAACCAAATACTTCATACAAATTTGTACAAAAGCATTCGTGTTTGTGGGGAGGAGTGGGAGATTACCCCAGGATGGGCAGCAGAGAATAAATGAACTGAAAGAGCCTGGATTGGGAGTCTGGGCCTGGGTTTAAACCCTAGCTCTGCCCTTTCCTAGCTAGCTGCCCACAGCAACCTCTCCAGGCCTCAGTTAAAATAAGAGTTACACTCCAGAACCCCAAGATCCCTCCTGCATTAAATGTGACCCTTCGATCTGTTTCAGTGGAGGGAGCCCCAGGTCAGGGTCATCAGGAGGTCTGGCCAGCGGCCAGCCTGGGCGGCAGAATCGTGGCTTTGGAAAAGCTCATCTTCCTGGACCGTTTCCTTTTTTTGTAAAATGATGGGGCTGAGACTAGATGGTTGTTCAAAAGTAGATGACTTTTGTTTTTCTGCTCTTTTGTGACTTAAGTAAGTAAATGCATTAGCTCTCTAATGGGTGGATCTAATTACAGCCTCAAGTGACATCTGCTGACGGCTTTTCTGAACTTGGAGATCCGAGCCTGGCCCCTCTTAATGACGCAGAAAGATTTGAGATTGTGCAGAAACTGTTTGCTCTCTCAAACATCACCCTGGAACGAGGGGAGGCGGCCGTGAAGGCCGTCATTATGAAGAAGCCTCAGTATCTCCCCCTCCTTCTTTATATAATCCTGAATGGACTTTGTGCTTTGGAAAGAAAAGACGAGTGAAGCTGTCAGGTAAGGCCGCAGGGGTGGGCGTCCTGCACGCTCCAGGGAGCCTCTTCAGAAAATCTTACATCCAAAAAGCTGAGCTAAGACAAATCAAAACGAGCCAGTTTTCCCCCACCGGTTAGGTCTTCCTTTTACAAGAGAACTCAGCAGCGTTCCCTTCTCAAGTACAAAGCTTCCTAACATTTTTAATATTAGAATCACAAATATTCACCTGCTAGAAAAACACTGCAGACAGGTCTGTCTGCAGATGCCCTCTCAGCATCAACGACATTCCCTTTTAGGGCTCCAGCCCCAGCACAAAGAAGGGAACCAGGTGGTTCTCATCCAAGCAAGAGAATTTTGAGGCCTTGGCAGAGGCTGCCAACCTGTCCTCCTTCTCCCACCACCTTCAAGGGGAGGAACAGGCCGCTTGTGCTTTTCGAGTGAGATGACTTGTTTCTGGTGGTGATGGATATAGGAGCTGGGGTGGGCAAAGGCTTCCCACAGCCCCTTGTCCAACAATCTCCCAGCAAAGTCCTGGCTTCCTCTTTGATCCTCATGGCGTATGATGGAGACCATGTGAGTCACATGTACAGTTCACAGCAGTTAGTTACCCTTGCATTCCAGATGTTTAATTTATAAACCTGTGGGACATCGGAGGAAATTCTAAACTGTCATGCCTGCCTCTGCTGTGACGTCTCTTCAAAGTGACCTGCTATGTTCTGGTCATCGGCACGACCAGCTGCTAGCCTTCGGGGCTCAGGCAGATGGCAGAGCCGTCTGGTCTTTATTTTTGCCTTTATTTCTGAGGGTGACGAGGCTTCCCTGAGCTGGGCTGCCTTGCTCCCCTCCTCCCTCCCATTCCCGGGCTGGCCCATGGGATCGTACCTCTGGCCAAGCTGAGGTTGTGCCATGCTGCAGTCAGAGACAGGTACCATCTGTCCCCAGGGGACAAGGTTCTACCCTAGCAAAGAAAACCCGTCTGCTAACCAAATGAAGGGCCCATTTCAGTTACCACATATGACTAGTGAGGAAAAAAAGGCTCACAGCCTCTTCCAATAATAAGTCTTTATTTCTTTATATATACAAAAATATTTCATTGGGAATAGGTAAATCTCATAGACTTTGTACATTTCTGTAGTTTGCATTATGGACAACACGTGAACAAGACATGGAATGTGTGAAAGAGGAGGAAGGGACTTTGCAAAATGGAAAAACCCTTGGTTGCAGAGCAGCTGGCTTGTCTCTGGGTGTCCCTCCCATGGGAGCTGGCTTGGAAATGAGCAGCAGCTGATTTTATTAACACAGGAACTCAAGATTCTTGCAGCATGTTCACACGTGGGTCTTGGGTCTGTCGAGCTTTTTGTCCTTAGTTTTTTAAACTGTTCTCTTTCACATATGTGCAAAAGACAATTATAAAGAACATGCATTTTAATTTCCAATGTAAAACTACACATGAAAAGAAATGTCAAGAAAAATCCCAAAGCTTTTTCCAGTATCCTCAATGAACCTTAAAACAAAAATGCCCTAAGTCTTGAGTGCTAGCTCTTTAAAAAAAGAACTGGAGGCTCCATCTTTCCAGCCAACCTTACAGAAACATTGGGGGAGAAGAGTTTCAATTTAAAATACATGGAGAAAAAAAATTTTAATCAAAAAAATTTTTTTAATTAAAAAAAAAAAGTCTTTTGGACTGACTCTGCCACTTGGTCCCTTGCTGGACTCGGGGCAGTTTCTTGTCTAATGAGATTCTGACCAGATGACCTGTAAGGTCCCTTCCAGCCCTAAATCCAGAAGCCTATGAACCTGCCCCATTCCTCACCTGGACCCGGTGAACCTCTGTTTACTAAACAGGACTTTTCTATTTAGAAGACTAATACACCCCTATAGTTTAAATTCTCATCTTTTTGTTAAAAAAAATATGGATGCATTTTAAAGTGGCAACAATTAGTGACTGATCTTAGTATAATTTGGGAAACTAAAAAACTAGTTGATTATTGCTCCCTCTTTTACGTGGTTAGGGTGGAAACCTGCAACTAATGTAAAGTTTGTGTGAAGCTTCTCTGATGTGGCTCTGACTGGCCAACCACCCAGCATTTAGTCAGCACCAACTGTACGGTATGGTGCCAGGGCGGGGCTTACAAAGGCAGAGAACCCTCCAGACCGCAGCACAGGCTGAAACGCCACAGTTGTTGCACATGTTAAAAATAGTTCCCTCTGACTTGTGCTCTGCGCCACCCTCACCAACCCTGGCTGAGCCTGAGTCATTCATCCTGCTATTCATAAGCACCTTTAATGTCACCTGTGGGTGTCTTCATTTAGCAAAGACTGGGAGGCAGGGAGGCAGGGAAAGGGACCTTAGGGCCAGGAGAGCCAGTGGTGGGGGATGGCAGCTCCGAAGAGGTATAAAGAATGTGGCCACTGCCACCATGAGGTAAACATTCAGGAAACCAGCCCAGACCTTAGGAGAAAGGAAATGAATCATAATCACAAGGTGCTGGGCACATTTCAAGAATACCCTCCCATCTCGTGACCCGCCCCCCCCTCCCCCCAAATATCTACTAGTCTAAATCTTTTAAAACAACAAAAAAGGGCAAAGTATTAGTTGCCTGCATTTTGACCTAATTTTACATTAATCTTCCATTTGTTATAATCTGACCTTGAATGCTAAACTGCTTTCTCTAGAATGCACCTTGGGGCTTTGCTCCGTGGCCGCAGAGAAAGAATTCCAGGATGAGGAAAGAAGAGTCTGTTCCTCAGACTAACCCTGAGTTATTCACAACAAACGCAGAGACAGAGGAGTCGTTATTTCTGGGTGTAAGGCTTTAGCTCCAGAAGGGATTATGTACTGTGGGCTAGATCAGCATCTCCTAGGCCTGCAATGGGATTAAACATGGGGGTGTCCAAATGCTACATGCTGGGCACCAATTCCCAGGCTTGCAAAGATGCATTTCGGAGAGCAAAAGGATAGGAGGAAAAATTACTGCATCGGCCCCAGGACAGAACAGGGGGGGAAGGGGGCCCGGGGGGGGGGGCCGCGGGGGTCAGGTTCCACATGCCCCAACCTGAAATCTAGGGAGTGCTTTCTGAATCACGATCTTTCATTTCAGAGGTAAGAATCACATGACTCTCTTCTGAGAAGGAAATTAAACAGTCTCACTCAACTTGACAAAAAACTTCAGTCTTGTCACAGAAAATTCAGGATTAGAGCTCCAAACGGTCAGAGCAGACTCAGGCCGACTTCTCACAGCTGCTCCAGAAGAGGGAACATTCTCGATCAAGAGTAAGGCAGAGGTGAGGGCGGGGGAAGTGGCAGCTAAGGCTGCAGTGGCCACTGGCATCATCTCCCTAACTGGAGAAAGCCCACCCTGGGAACCCAGGAGATGGATTAGGGTCAATGACCAAACCCTTTCCAACCCAGACATAAGATTAGAAGAAGAAAAGCAGATGGGTGTGTGTGCACACGTGCATACACAACACCCACTGCAGGCAGAAAATCAAGTAAAGAGAAAAGTCTTCACCCACCTCCAGCCCAGGAGAGCCAGTCAATCTGACAATCTTCATAAACTCCTGGGCCAACAGAAGAGCAGCTCTAAAAACATGGCTCTAGGGGCAGCTAGGTGGCGCAGTGGATACAGCACTGGTCCTGAAGTCAGGAGGACCCGAGTTCAAGTGCGGCCTCAGCCCAAACACTTGACACTTACTAGCTGTCTGACTCCAATTGCCTTAAAGAAAATGGCCCTTTCTCCTTTCAAAGGCATTTTATCACAACATTAAAATGACCAGTTCCTAGTAAAGTAACTTGAGACTTTTTTCTTACTTGCTGATTAAAAATTCAAAGTTACAGGTAGTGATACTTTCTGGGTTATTTCTTTCCCACCTGCTCTTCAGAAGTCAGACGAGTACCTGTATGTGGGCAGTACCACAGTCTTCGAAACCACAGACAGGAATCCAGCAAAGCCAAGAACTCTGGCGTAATTAAGGATTGTAACGCCAGCCATGGGATTAGACGTTCGGCTTTATTATGCAAGACACACCTGATGGGACATCAGTTCTGAGACAGAATTTGGTTATTTTATACAGTCTGATGATACATATGTGCGTGTATATACATACACACAGTATGTATACGAAACATGGCAACATCTGAAAAAAGCGAGCAGTTATCTCTTTACACAGAAGCTTCAGAACTGCCTCCTCCTCATTAGCACAGAATGATTTTCAGAACCCCTGACAGATATTTAAATACAACAATGTTAAGTTTTGGGTAAAGAAAAAGAATCCAGACCCTCAAACTGGGGGTGTCAGGAGTCAAACAGCAGGTGACATGATGGATTATTGCTGGCCAATTTACAAGGCTTTTGACCTGCAAAGCCTCATGAATTAACAAGTGTGCATGAGCCCATGGTCATCGATCCTTCCCTGGAAGCTGTGGTCCTGCCTAATGAGTGAAGAGAGTCCTTTGGCATATGGTACATGCTGATACATAATTAGCTCTATGTTACCATGAGCTTTTGGGAAGGGGACGTCTTCTACAGCTCATGATGAAACCTCAAAGCAGCCCAGACAGACCAACCTGGCTGTAAACCTGATTTCCCCCAGGGGTATCTGAGCTATTGCCTCTCCTCAGGAAATGCTTCATGCCTAGATTTGTTTGCTGTTTTAAATAAAATTCAGATTGACAAGCCAGCCGCCATAAAAAGCAACATCTTGTGTGGTCTGGATCAATCACTGCACCGCCTGTTGCGTTGGGCAACACCATTTCTATTTTAGGGGTAAGCAAAATTTAGCATGAGTGTAGACCACATCACACCACAATGAAGTCCCAATGGAACTAGCTGCCAGAGGGAAAGGTATTTTGGTCCAAACACAGCTCCTCCCATGGGCCAATGGCATCTTCACCAAGGAAAATCATCTTCAAGGTTGTTTATATGTTTCAAAAGACTGTTCAAATTCTATTTCCCACTTGATAAAAACATGATGGTCAACGTTTCTACCTCTCCTCATTTAAGGGAAATTTCTAATACATGACCTTCAATCTCAACGACTCCTTCCAGATTAAGTCAGCATCTGGTCCCAAGCAGCCCTCCAAACCCATTACCAGGATGGCAGAACATCCTCCACACACAGCATCTGGAATCACTTCAAACCATTCCCTTATCATCAAGGCGCCCTATACCTCCTGGCTTTACTCCAAAAGGTATATAACACAGGTGTCCCTACCTCCAAGAACCCCTGGAGAAACCTCCAACACTTCAGTGCAGAAGGTCTACACTCCTCGTCAGGTGACTCTGGGGGGCCCCGCCATATGGGAGCTACTCTGCTGTGAGATATGGCCCTAGGTGGTTTGGCAATCCTAAAGGGAGTGGAAGGAAACCCACAAACTGGCTCCCTTTTCCCAGAAAGGAGGCCCCTGGAATGCCCTAAAGACACCCTAGGATCAAGGGTTTGGAGCTGGAAGGGCCTCATTTTACAGATGGACTTGGTCCAGGTCACATGGTGCTGAGGAGCAGAGGTGGGCTGGCCTTCAGGGCTTCCCTTTGGCCCTGTGAGGTCCCCAGACACCCACCAGGTGGCCGAGCCCCATCCTTGTGGCCATTCTGCCTCTAAAAGCCACATGTTCAGTGTTGTCCATCCCTGATTAGGACACTGTGATAACTGAGAGTGAAGGAGGCCAAGGAGATGAAAGTGCTCCAAGCCCATTTCAGGCACATACACCAGTAGTAAGGGAAGTCCATCCCTCCTAACAGACAGCCTTCTAAAGATACTCGGTGCAGCCCATTATGACGGGATGAAGGAGGAGGCATGTCAGCTAACAATCCACGAGTCCAGAGTTGCCTCTGTCCTGGTGCTGCCCAGAGACAGCTCCTGCCCCACCGGGCCGTCCTTCCTAGGAAGCCAACGCACCCCTGACAGGGCACAAATTCCCATCTCCCTTTTGTTGCGTTTTACATCAGGCAGTGATCGAGCTTAACCGCACCACCACCTTAAAAATACAAAACACAGAAACCCTAAAATCACAGGCCCCCTAACTTGTGTTGTGAGAAGACAAGAGTGGTGGAAATAGATACTTATTAAACACTGTGACTATCTTAGAGAATATTTTCTGGGAGATGCTAAATACCCACCCTAAGTCTAAGAAAGGGATCCATGTGTTACGGCTAGAAAACAACAGGATCTGAAAAAATACCCAGCGGTTGAACTCTTGGATAGCGCAGTGTCTTAATGAATGATATAATTACTTCAAGCAATCTGTGCCCTGTCCCATCATGCACATCTCAGTCCTTGAAAACCCAAGGCATCACTGGAAGTCTCCATTTTTCTTACAAGGTCCTGACCAGAGTCCTCTTCTTCCTGGTGCCGTGGGGGAAGCAATCCTCAGGAGTTGCCTCGCCAGCCCCCAGACCACCAAACCCAGCGAGATTCAGGCACCTACCCCTGCCTGTGAAGTGATACTGCAATACGCAAATCATAGAGCAACAGGCCCCAGGAAAGCACCTGGCTGGCTACCCGCATCCTTCTCCAAGTGTCTGCAGCAGGATTTCTATGCATACCAATGTGAATGCAGAAATTTGCATATTATGATGTGAATGAGTCCAAGGAGGCAAAAACACTCGCCCCCCATCATTAAGCATGAAGCACGTTTCACAACAGAAACGTGCTGCATAAAGAACATCTATTGAGAGCATCTAGCAATACCTTTCACCTTTCACAAGCTATTCAATGGATATGGTTCTCAACACAACACAGCACAAATATCCCATCAGAGCACATCTCATAAACACAAGGTTCACTCACAAATACCTCAAAATGGAAAATCAAGAGAATCTTTAAATATCACTGGAATTTACAGATGTCAAATATAACTGCTGACCATATCATAATAAAAAGCTTTATAAATTAAGTTTTTTTCTTTATCAGTGAAATTTTCACTAGTGAAAATAAATACTTTGCCCTAAGCTTCCGTTTCCTGAATCCTGAGGCTCTCTCCCTTGGGGGACACCTCTTGTTGCTAGGCCCACTGTACCGGTTACAGGTGAGCAGCAGCATCTCCTCTCACCGCAATGAATGCTGGGAAAAGGCTGGCCTCGAAGCAGAGGGGCCCCACCTATACAACGGGCAACCCGCCCTGCCTCTCCAGGACAGCAGAAAGCAGATCCGGGGGGACAGAGGGACGCTGGCTATGACACTGGTTATTGGCATTCCGCTCTCCTAAGAAATTCAATCAGGATGACAGATCATAATTGGTGCTTTCCCTTAATAAGAATAACTGACAATAGAACTAGAATGAGGGGTTTACAAAAACTGCTTCAAGTATCCATTATCACAGTGAAAATGAGACCCAAATGCACTGTGGAAGTGAGTGATTGGAAAACTTGGATGAAAAAGGCAAAAATGCTAAATCAAAACATATACAAAATGCTTCAACGCATTTCTCTCTGTGATATGAATAGAAAGGTTATCTGTAAAAAGGTAGAAAAATTAAGATAAATTACATATTTAAGCCCACTTCCCCTTGCACATCTTCTATAAAAATTCTGATTCATGTACTAGTACTTCAGTCTACAGAGTAAAAGCGCCTCGCCTCAGCAGGTGCCGGCTAGCTTCGCACACGTTTTCTTAGGTGAATGTTTACTTAGAAAGGCTCAGTTGTCCCTTCAGCGCCTCTGCCCTGTCAGTACACCCAGCTGATGGGGACCCACTGCGGCTCCACCCGCAGTCTCTCAATGGCGGCCTGCAGCTTCTCAAAGGCCTTGTCCAGGTTGTCATTTATAATGACCAAATCAAAGTAGTGGTTGTAGGCTCTCTGGATGCGCGCGCTTTCATCCACCGTTTTTTTCAGGTTCGTGTCCTATATGGATTTGAAAGGAAAGAAGCACGTTGATACTGGCAGTGTGTCCTTTACACCACTTTCACTGTGATGTGATCACATTTCAGGCAGACGACCTCGTGGCAAGAGGCCTTGGGGAAGGGGTACATGCCGGCCGCTCAGTTGCTAGCCCACGCACAAGAGGGGTGCCCCCTATGCTGCAGGCTTATCTGACCCTCACAGCTCAGCCTGATGCATCCTGGGGGGTCAAACCAGGGACAACCTACGCGGCTCACAGAACCCGCTCTCTCTGATCTCCGGCATGAAATGCAGCCTGGAGTCTGTGAGCTTTCTTAACATTTTTACAATGACGTTTCACTATCACTGGTTTCCTTTGTAATCCTGAGTATTTTATTTTATGCATTTAAAACCATGATTCTGAGAAGAGTTCCCCAGAACTCACCAGACCTCCATGAAACAGAATTTAGCACCTGCCTCTGGGGGTCACAACTGACTGGATTCTAGACAAAATCACGGCACTTATCCCCCAACAAAGACTCTATTGTTGTTTTATATCACCATCTTTTGGCTAATATTTTCAACCAATTCTTGCTTTTCTAGTAAGTTTGCACAGTTCATGTCAGCTGTGTAGACACAGCTTATGTTATGACGGGCACCAGTCTTAAATTACTGAAGGTATCAGATACCACCATATTGAGGTTGCAAATAAACTAGTTATTTTGGTTTTTTTTTTTTTGGATCTGACCTACAATTTCATCAGTGTAAGGAACTTCCTCTGACCACACCAATGACGTCTGTAATGTATATGCTGAGAGCTGTCTGAAGCTCCAAGTTGGGAAGCGATTTGCCCATGGTTACATGGCTACTATGTGTTAGAGAGAGAGGCCCTGAACACTGGTCTTGAGACAAGGCCAAACCACCATCTTCGGGGGACTCTCTGAGAGGTCACTCACAGGAATAACAACTACTGCCTTGGGGCCACTTTCTGATTCTGCCTCCTCTGTGCTCGCCAGAAAGCAAACTCCCTAGAGAAGGACTCTGTTGGTGCACTGGGGGCATCTGGGGGCATCTGAGGGGGCACAAGAGTCCTTGTTCTGGACCTCCCACCAAAGAGAAAAGGAAGGCGAATGCTTCCTAACTGTGAAACCTGAAATAAACCTAAGTCAGGATGACTAGGTTTGAGAAGGCAGATTGTCTCCAGGAGTTAGGCTGACCTCATCTGTCAATTCATGTGACCACCTGTTATGGAAGACCAGATTCCAGGGAGCCTCAAAGTGAAGGCTCCTCTGGATCTTCCTACCAAGATGACACCTTTCATTTCTAACAGTCATGCTAGGAGCCTTGTCCCCCACCAGCTAGGGACCGTGAAGGCACGGCTGATCTGGCACAGCAGAAAGCAGACGGCCCCAGGAGACCCCTTTGCAGCCCTGTAAGCTGAATTTCGCTTACTGGGCAGAACCAACTGGACCTCAGGAGACACGGTCATTGTCATTGGTTTCTTACCCCTGACATGTTCAATGTAAGCCATGGACTGGCGCTGGGACAGAACAAACCAACCAAAGGAACGTTCTAGTGGGTATGGGAGACTCTGGCTTCTCTGCCACACAGAGTTAACAGATGGGACAATTAGCCTGAACATCATGCCTGTAGACCTGTTCCAAGCAAGAAAGTCCAAGGCACAGTGGCTTGCTCGCCATGTCACACGTCCATTTCCAAAGTCACTTCCCTCCCCCTTGTTCCAGAGGCCATCATGAGCACCGTGTCCTGTCACCCCAGCGATGCGAAAGAACATGGAAGGGGCCGTGACTGGGAAGGAGCAGGCGGTCTTCATCACAGGCAGCGGTGAGCAAACAGCATTTTGCTTGTCCCACCGGCACGTGTGATTTTTCAATACGGACACGCCACCTGCTCAGTCCACACATCACAGGCCACGTTCTACTAAACAGCACTGGATGTGAAGGCAAAGAGCGTGAGGTCCAGCCTCAGCTCTGCCGTGGAGCTGGCCAGGTGACTTGTTGGAGCCTCAGTCTCCTGAGACGGAAAGGGAGATGGATGGATACTACGTGACCTTCCACATTTTTGTTTTAAGTCCTATGACCCGATTGCCCAACTTTTATGTGCTAATATCTCCCATCAAGGCATAAGGCTTTAGATAAAATATAGAAATTAACCTGGATCACGTAAATAGAGACAAAGGCGTGACCTGGCCGTCAATGCTCATCCCTGCTGGGACATTAGCAGTGCGGTTATAACAACGCCCCAGGGTGGAAGTCAGCCTGCCTCTCCGTCTCTCGCTTTGACGTTCCCTAGTGAGATGACCTCAATGAGCTTCCTGGGCCTTCGCTGGGGCCCAGTTTCCTCCTTGACAAAATGAGAAGGCTGGATTCAATGACCTGAGTGTGCCCTGGCTCTAAAACGCCACTTCCTTATTTCTCACTGCATCAGGCAGCAATGATGCTTCAGGGTGTGCCACATATCATGCTTCAATAGCACGGCCCAATGCACAGCAAACTTCCACCCCTGCGCCACAGTCCTGACACAGCTGCCCCTCGCAGGGAGTCTGAGCAGGCAAACCTGTTCCAGAGACAAGACAGACAACCCGGTGAAAAAGGCGCCACCCAACAGCAGCTGAGCCGCTCACCGTCAGGAGCTTGGTGGTGATCCCAGCATCCACCACGGCCTTGTGCATGGCACGCAGGGTCTCTAACTCAGGAGCAGCGATGAACACGACGTAGGGCATGAACTCAGATGTCCTTAATACTTTCAGAGCCTGGAGGAAAAAATGAGTATGATGAACCGATTCACACAGTCTCACCATATGGAGTTCAGGCTACAAACGAAGCTATTTCGAAGTGAAGATTTGACACCTAGAAAGGAATCCTAATATGTTATACTGGCACAAGTATGAGTGGCTGCCTCCCTAAAATGAGTAGAAAAAGTAGGAACCTACATAAGAAAGTAGAAACCTACAAATTTATTCTCAGAATACATGATTTTCTTCACTCAATGCATAGAATGAAAATCCTCTAGTGACAACCAAATGAATGTGGCACAGGACATACGTATGGCGCCCTGTCAAACCCTTGATGAGCCTGCAGGTCAAACCGCCTAGATTCCATCACTCTGGCAAGTGACTGGGCTCATTACAGGCAAGCGAGAGAAAGTCACCAAAACCCTCCATGAAGCTGAAGGGAAAGCTCAGAGCCTGAGTAAAAGGCCATGCCCAGCTTGGCTGCCGACCCTGGGACTCACCTGTGGGTTCACATCCAGGATGCACGTCCTCCCAGTCTGGGCCACCTCCAAGATGGAGTCTATCCTGGTGCCATAGAGGTTCCCTTCATATTCACCATGCTCCAAGTACCTCCCAGCTTTAATGTCTGCCTCCATCTCAGCCCGAGACACAAATTTGTAGGCCTGGCCATCCTTCTCATCCTCCCTTGGCTTCCGTGAGGTAACTGTGTACAAGGTTGGATGGTTACAAAGAGTTTCTAGACAGGACAAGACACCCTCAGTTCTCAGAGAAGCCCAGAGGTTTTCTATCTGAGAGATGACCATGGGGAGTCTGAACTACAAGTGGCCTGACACTTGGGGCAGTTTTCCAAAGGGAAAAAAACCCAAGTTTAGAAATGATGAGGAAGCTCCCAGAGTAGCCCCTCAGGGCTTGTTTCTAGCTCAGGACCAAGGAGAACAGCCTGAACGTAGCTTGAGAGGCCTCGGAGCACAGAGGAGTGAGCCTTTCTGTCCAATTATACTCTATGAAGGCCAGGTCTGCCCTGGGTCTCTGCTTTCCTTTAAAACCTCATGCAACAGGCTGGAAAGCCTAGGGCAGCAGCCACTGAGCCCAGGCCCCACCTGCTGCCTTTCCAGCTGGTTTCTCTCCCCCTTTTCACATGAAGTTGCACCAGCAGGCCTCCCCTCAGAGCAGAGGGGAGGCTGTGCTCCGGGGAGGCAGCTTCACTCACATAACGCTTCCTGCCAAATGCCATTTCCACCCCTTAGTTTTCTGCCTTGATTCTCTCTATGGGGAGGGGTAAGGGGAGGGGTAAGGGGAGGGTGTCCAGCTGCTTAACAATGAGAACATAGTCCCTTCTCTCCATCTTCTCCTTCCCTGCATCTTGGGACACAGCCACTGGGACATTCTTAAAAAGGCGAAGGAGCTGAGTAGCCAACCAAAGAGGTGGGAGGGCAGGTCCCCTGAAGCTTGTCAGCCCTTCTAACAAAAGCCTAACCCAAAGGCCTGACTGCCCCTTGGCTTCTGACCGCACGCTCGGAGGAGACGGTATCATCTCTCTGACTGACACACAGAAGCAGCACAGGAGCATTCAGCAAACCAGTCATTGCTACTAGGCGCCCGCTTTGCCCCAAAGCCTTCTGGTCTACGGACCAGCTCCCATTTCTAGTTGGTGTCGATGAGGCGAAAGAGGCTCACGATGTCCAGAACAATTTGAAAGCGACTCCCATAACTGTGATTTTGACAACACAAAGGCTTTCTTTGCATGGACAAAATAAATTTAAGAGCAACCAAACACGATGAGAGAGTTCGACTTTGTGAATTTTTTACCTTCAACTCTAAGGAATGTAACGAACTCCTATTTCTGATGGGCATATGGTGGGTGAGGGCAGGAGGTCGAGGACTGAGGTCCACACCACTCATGTGGCCATAAAAAAGTTTATCTGAAGGTGCTAGGACGAGTTACTGTTCTCTGCCCCCCAAATCTGTGATCACACCTGGGAGCCAGCTCCCAAGTTCTAGGAAGGGTCTGTCCAGCCCTGGCTTCTCTGTGGCCATGTCACGAGCGCTGGGTGGACACGGGATGGAAGGAACATCACTCCTTGTACAGCCTGTCTCAGTACACGTTCCGGCTCCATGCACTGCTAGGTTTTTAAAACGCCAGCAGACCCCGAAGATGACAAGGCAGCAGCTTTCGCGAGGGGTCTGGCCCACTAAACAACTGGGCAATCTCCTCTCTGGAAGGAAGGCCGTCACCTGACACTTCTGAAAGCTAGGACGATCCGTCTAGTTTACACGAACCTTCTCTGAGGTCAGATCAGACAAAGGATTGTGAGAGAAGGGGAGGGGGCAGCCCTGCTCCCTGGGCCTCCAGCACAGGGCGTCCCAAGGGGAAGGCACCCTTTGGCATGAAAAGCAGCGTAACTTACACGGTACCGTGGTCCCAAACCTCGTGGGGTTCAGCACGATGAATCTGTTCTTCAAGCTTCTTCGGCCAACACCCTGAGCCCCTATCAACACCAACGTCTTTCTCTGGAAGGGAGGCATTTTTGCTACTTCCTCATAGATCTGGATTTCGTGTCGGTCAAATTCTAAATACAAAGAGGAAAGTGCCATCAGCACCAAGGAGCGTCCTGGTAAAATGACCCACTGCACACATTAGCGCTTCTGCACCTGATCATGTGAGGCTGGGCTCAGATCTGTACCGAGGCCACCTCACTGTCGTTCTGCCCCACCCAGAAGCTGCTCCTCTGGCCAGGGACAGTCCGGCGTCAGGCCCTGACCTCAGAATCCCAGGCAAGAATCTACCCTTCCCAGGAATCCGGGAGCTGCTCTCACGGTCAGCAAAGAGGAGGTGGGCAAGGCTGCCAAAAGAGAAAGCAACGCCTGGGGTCTGTCAGGCAACGGCTCTAGCCTCTCCCCTTGGTCTAGCTAAGGCCAGGACAGCATGTATTTCTAAGCTGGCACTGGCCCACTCAGGAGCTCTGCCGGTGCCCCTGGGAAATGCTAGGAATGCTTCTGTCGCCACAACAGCGCAGCCTGAAGCCACCAGCAAGCTCCCTAGTGAGGCTGCGTCATCATCTCTGAAGGTTTGCACCCATTCTCTCAGAAGCCAAGTGAGGAAACACACAGGGCACTGGGAGCAGGGCTCAGATACCACGTGGCTGCTCCTGAATTCTGAAGGCCGTTTTCACTACAATTTCAGCAGAGAGACAGACATAAGGAGAGGTAGTGGCAAAATAGAACTCAGCACACAGATATTTGCACCAGTTTATAGGAGTGCGCCTCCAGGGGCACACACATTCAGGTGGTACCATGCCTGTCAACTCCATCACACCAGGTACCTCTTCTGGGCCTTTCAAGAACCCTCATAGGGGGCAGCTAGGTGGTGCAATGGATAGAGCACTGGCCTTGAAGTCAGGAGGACCTGAGTTCAAATCTGGCCTCAGACCAAACACCTGACACTTACTAGCTGTGTGACCCTGGGCAAGTCACTTAACCCCAATTGCCTTAAAAAAAAAAAGAACCCTCATAGGAACGAGATTGACTCTAGGAAATTAAAGGATATTGTCTCTACTTGAAAACTGTCTCTATCATTGTTTCTCCTTGTTTTGAGGAGGAAACATTAAAATCTGTTTCTGCCCTTCCCTGTATTCCTCTCCCGGATGGCAGCTTTGACTATTATTTGGACCCTTGGTCTGAAACAAGAGAAGAGGTGAGAATCAGCCCCTCTCCCAGGGCTAGAGGAGCGATTTGCTCTTGACAAAGACCTCTGGGCTCCCCTCTTATCCAGGTGGGCGGGAAATGGCCAACTTGGGAGAGCATGAGGAGTACTGGCTTTAGAGTCAGGCGGCCTGGGCTCATATACTAACTGAACCTGGACATGTCCCTTCCCCATCCTGGACCTCAGTTTCCTCCTCTGTAAAAGGAGAGGGTCGGCCTTGATGGCCTCTGAGGTCGTGTCCTGATGGGGATCAAGAATCAGTGAACATCATATAAACTATTAAGTGGGAGACTGGGAGCCCCAACTCAAGGCTTGGGAACCCAAGGGCAGGGCTCTTCCCACTGCCCCAGAAGAGAAAAGAAAGAGGCAGCTGATGGAGTTGGGGGAGGAGCCCTGGGGTTTGGGTCCTGACAGGAGACAGCTGTGAGAAGGTTGGGGCCTCTCAGTGTAGGACCCGTTAAGTGACCGGACTGGATCTAGTCCTTTGAAGGATCTCCACCTCTAGATTCTAGGATTCTGGGGCTCATTCCTTTCACCAAAGGGCTGCATTTCACCTCGTCAGCAGGCAGAACTGGAAGAACTTTGCTTGAACAAATTTTTTCAGTTTATTTCAGTAAAAATTTCCTAAAAAGGGACAATTATTCCAGCAAACATGGTAGTCATTAGGAATTTCACATTTACAGGAACTGAGAAATGCCTTACTAGTAAGACCACGGTGCGTCTGGTTCAGAACTGGGAAAGCAGTAATCTGGTCAGGTACTTTCCATGGTGACTCAGTTGTTTCTTTACACAGAGAAGCTTCACAAAAAGCCCACTGATCAGAAGCGACTAAGAAGAACCCGCTTAAACAAATGCTTCCTGTGGCCAAACCTCTCTCCGTCAATCCAACTGTTGGGTGGGAGAAGCATCATCCAGTGGCAGAAGCAGGTGAAGGCCCACACACTAGTGCCCTCCATCAAACAAAGCCCACAGAGATGCACCAGGTCACAGCACCACAGCCTTCCCTGGGGAAAGAACGGCCCGACGCTGGGCCCTCCGGTGGGCGCTGACATGATGTTTATTCTGAACTACACACCACAGATCATGCTCTGAGGCACAATTTCATTCAGACTTTTCAAAAATATCTCAAAATACCTGCATTTCGGGTGGTGAGATACATCATTTTTTTCTTTTTTTTGCTGCTTATAGTTCCGCAAAAAGGCCCTGGAGACAAGAAAACAAACGCATTTTAAACAGCTGGCCAGAGCACGGGGAAATGCTCACACAGCATCACACGGGGCGCTCTGCCCCGGGGAGGGGATGGAAGGGCAATGGGAGCGCTGAGACATCAACAGAGTTTCCACCTAAACTTACACAGTTCCAGGTAACTGGAAAACAAACAAACAAACACTGACAATAAAAAGCCAATCCCAACTGTGCCTGCTTTGGGCCTAAGGCCTGCGTAACACGCTGACAGGTGGCAGAGAGGGAGGAAGAGCTGCCTGCGACAGGCAGAAAGGCCAACCACATGGAAGGGCTGAGGCCAAGAGGGACGTGTTTCTCTTCTAGTCTCCTGCTCCTGCAGATGGACAAGGCAGAGGAAGGGGCCCAGAGGGCGGCGTGCTGCGTGTCCCCCTCCGAGCGCCTCACCTGGGCTGTCCCAGTCTCTTCTCACAAACGCCTTCCTCTTCTCTTCCAGGAACTGGCTGGGGATGAGGCCTGCACTTCCTCCCTCCTTTACGTGGTTAGCCTAGAAGCAAATGAAGGCCTTTCAGAGCCCAGTGGCCAAGACCCCTCCCACAACAGGACAGCCAGCCCAAAGCCCAGGAGCTCCTGGAAACGTCTTGTTTGGGGCTGAATCAAAGCCATCTTTGGGGAAGGCACATGACGAGCAATTGGGGTATCAGTAGCTGGCACCCCAACCCTTAGTCTTTGCTGGCCAGAAGCAAAAAAATGCTGAGCCTTCCAGACACATAACTGTATACAGGCTCTCTTACCTACTGAGACTTTTCATTCAAGAAGCGTGACTGATTATAGGACAAACAATTAAAGGGAAAAGGCAGCTGGAGGCAACACAGTGTATAGAGTGCTGGACCTGGAGTCAGGAAGACCTGAGTTCAGACCTGGCCTCAACACTTTTTTTTTTAATAGGCAATTAGGATTAAGTGACTTGCCCAGCGTCACACAGCTAGTAAGTGTTTGGTCTGAGGCCAGATTTGAACTCTGGTCCTCCTGACTTCAGGGCCAGTGCTCTATCCACTGCACCACCTAGCTGCCTCTTGGCCTCAACACTTAACAGCTGGGTGACCCAGGACAAGTCATTCAACCGCTCTCTGCCTCAGTTTCCCCAACTGTAAAAGGAGGATAACAACACCAACCTTACAAGGTTGTTTTGGGAACAAAATAATATTTATAAAATACCCTGCAAACCTTAAACATTACATAAATGCTAGCTGATATTACTAATATTATTAACAATTTTAATTATGTTAGTCATACAAACACATAACAAATTATCTACTAATTATAATCATCTACTATTAGTACTGCTAATAGTAACGGTAATAATAATAATAATGATAATATCCAAGAGGAAAGACCTCAAGGCTGGATAAAGAAAGAGCTGAAGGAATTAGGAGAAGAAAGAACTAAGAGAAAGAATTCTTAAGCAAGGAAAGAAGAAAAAAGTTAGAAAAGGGAGAAGCAGCTTTAGAAAGTTGATTCTTTAAGATGACGATTGTTAGAACCTGAATAAGGTTCTAGGAATTTGGGATCCAACTTTGATTAGGATTTACTCCCTCTAAGGTTCACTCACTGAAAAGAAATGCTTTTTTATATGTAAGGTTATATTTATAATAATGTTTTAATGTGTAAATAAACAACATATCAGTATAATACATAAATACCATATACTAACATTTCAAAATATAGTATTATTACCACTTAAAATGAAAACGGATGTTAACAGTTTTACAGTGTTAATTACTGTGGTCTACTTAGATCCAAAAGAGCACTTTGGGGAAGTTTTGGGTTTTGTCCAATTAAAAGAAAAAAATGACCCTTTCTCCATCTTCCTTTTCTGTTTGCAGTGAGATGAGCCCCATACTGGAGATCCACACACAGACACACACACACAGAGTCACAGAGACAGACACACACACACACACACACACACACACACTCTCTCTCTCTCTCTTTCTCTGTCTCCTGGCTTCTTGGCTCATTAGCTTGGAGAGTGGCTCCCTCTATTGCTAGGTGCACAGAGGGCACAAGAGGGAGGTGATGGAGCCTCATCACAGCGGGGGAGGGAAGATAAAAAATACATTTCACCTTTCTGATCCCCAAGAAACAAAGGAAGAGCCCTGGGCACCCTCTGCCCTCTCTGAGGAGAGTCATCCCAGGACCGGGAATCTGGCGCTGCCCTCCCCAACAGGAGAGAGATGGCACTGGGGGAAGGTGGCCCGTGCATCTGGGGACAACGGCATGAGTGCTCATCATGTAGGCAGATGACCAAGATTGGAGGACCTGGATTTTCCATTTATTGGTTGCATGACCAGGTTAAGTCTCCTTACCTAATTGGGCTTTGGTTTCTTCATCTATAAAAATGACAAGAACAATACTAGCACCACCAACTTAGCTGGATTGCTGTTGTGAGAAGAACATGAAATAATGTAGGAGAAAGTGCTTTGTAATTATAAAGTGCTACAAAATGTTCATAAATTATCATTAGCCTTACCATAGAACTACAAGGATGAACTGCGTTCCCTTCTCTATTCTCTCATCCACGATTATATCATATCCTATCAGGAGGGGGTGAGAAGATAAGGGCACCCGCAGAGAACACATAAATTGACCGGAGAAAAAGGAAACATCCCAAAAGGGAGGACAAGGGCCCAAGGAGACAACTCCCTGAACCACGAGGAGACCACTACAGGGCACTCTCAAATTCCTCCCTAATTCAGGCCCTTTCTCACAAAACCAGCACATCCGGCAGAGGGAAGAAGTGATGATGTCTGCGAAAGGAATGCTTTCGTTGCAGAGGTAGCAATGGAGGAAAAACAGACCCAAGTTTCTCTGAACATCCCAAGACCGGACCAAGCTAAGAAAATTAATTCAGAAGCACCACGGCCGTGGCAAGAATCTGCTCACCTGCCACCAATTTGGGTCTTCACGGTTGACAATCTGAAGAATTTCTCCCTTTGAAAATTTCAGACCTGCCTCTTTGCAGGGAATCAGGTTGTCATTGTAGGGATCGTAATCAAAATGACACTTTACAAACACCTGAAAGGAGAGTTCACAGAAATATGAAAAGAGCTAAGGCTGCTACAGACCGGGAGTCAGAATCACGTGCTTTCACATTCTTGACCAGGTGTTTAGTGGGCCAGTGGAAGCCCAGCTGACTTCTGCAAGGGAAAATCTATGGAGGTGATTTAAAGTTGGCCACCCAGGTACCAGGTAAGATACCAAGATGCCACTCCAGCTTCTGAGGTCAAGCAAACCACCCCACCCATGCCCCTTTTATTTCACACCCAATGCCAAATACTCTTTAATACCCCAAAATGCTGCAATCCAATTTATAGGCTGAATTCCTGCCCACCCAACTCACACATACTTGGGGTAGTCAATGAGCCAACCCCCAGCACACACTCTGCTGTTCTTTGCCACTCACCAGCAAGAGGCTGGGGCATGTTGACAACAGGTTCTGCTGAAGTGACCATCCTTGTTTTTTTATCTAAAAATTCTTTCTTTCTCCTGCATCATCATAATCAATTTTCACTAGACATATCTGTTTTTTTTTAATTAAGAAAAATTATTTCTTTTTTAATATCTGACAGTTTTAAAAAACAGGCTCACAGTAGATGTCTTATATTGATTAAGTAAAAATCACAGAAATATGCTTCCTCGAGCCACTATGTTTTTAACACTTTTTCTGGTTGTTAATCCATAACACAATTTTGTCATTAAGAAAACTGTCAGAAGCAGCACTCTTTTGTTATACTCTTCTAGCTGTGCCTGTTGAGTCTATATCATTTTTTTCCTTGAAGATATCAAGACCTGCCCACCCCCTCATTCATGGCACGATGTGTGGATAAGAGCACACAAGTCCAGGCCTGCACGATGAGGCGCCACGTAGCTGCTCTCAGCTCGGGTGGTGCGTGGTGACTTACCATGGGAAACACCGTAGCAACCTGAGCTGCCGTCATCGTTGTTAGAAGCAGCGATCACCATCACCCTCAACACATCGTTTCTAGGAGCAGCCTCTTAAGGTTACTCACTGATTCTGTTGGCAAAGTTTGGAGGACTTCTTCATTCCAATTTAAATACTAAATGCATTATGAATTTCTAGTCTATAATGGCAATTTACTGACAATGAGATTTTTAAAATAAGAAAGGAAATAGGCAAAAAAAAAAGAAAGGAAATAAGCTTGTGTCTCTTTGAAACATATTTCAAGGCATTCAAATGAGCTTCTTCCAAAGTCCTTCTCATTTATTACTTCCTGATTCAAACAGCATTTTTCAGATTAAAAGGCAAGAAAATATAAAACTAATACCAGTAATGACGAGACATTTCCCCAAATGAAACGTACACATCCATAGAACTTTTAGGCTACACGATGAGGGGTAACTGTGCTAGATCAGAGGTCCAGAGAAATGGGTTACAATCCCGGCTTGGACAATGACTAGCTGTGTGACAGGAGAGTCACTTATCTTCTTTGGGTCTCCATTTCCCTATCTCTAAAATAGGGATAATAATAGTTATCCTACTTCCCTCATACGGCTGTTGTAAAGAGAAACATTTTATAAATGTTAATGGACTACAGAAATAAATTTAACATGTATATAAACACTGATTTGAAAACAAATTTAAAACACCAAATTATTAAATATAAGAGCAGTTTGCTAGATTAACTACTATAATTTAGTTATTTACTATTTGATGATATTAGTGGACAGTATTCAAGTAAGATTCACTATGGTTGGAAAGGCTTAATGTCAATGATAAAAATCGCTAGTAAGCCAAGACTTTCATCTCGGATAAAATTCTCAAAGTGCATACACTAAACTCTACAGTCTGACAATGACATGTAATTCAGTATTTTGGCTATGGAAAAAAAGGTTAAGTTTAGTGGTGGGCACTTTAATTGGGGTGAAGACAAAGAAACACTGTACCAGAAATGCCATGGAACAATGTCATACCTGACACGCTTGTGCTCAAAGTCTGTCCATACTGACGTCTGTCTAAAAACCCACAGTTCCCAATTCTATAAATGAGGCCGTAAAAACGAACACAGACATCAGCACCAGCTTCCCTGGGCTCCCAGCATTTCCATTTGCTCCATTCTGCCCAACAAGAGTTTACTATGTGTCAGGGGGAACAGCAGTGGCCCTGAAATTCTTCTAGATGACACCAGCAAATATCGAAGGTATCCGGGACTGGCCAGACAGGAGGAGGGATGGGGAGGGGGGGGAGGCGTGCCCAGAGCTCCCTCCACACCTGCTCCTCCTTGCCTCTTCTAAAGGCAGGGTGCATTGTGGGACAGAAGCTCTACAAAGAAGAGGAGCCACCTATCTTTCAAGTACATCCACCTACAGGGTCCAAATAAACTCAAGAGACAAGCATTTGGGCAAACTCTGTTCTTCCATACTTCATCTAATGTGGGCATTCTCCTCCATGATGCACATCATGGCCTGTGCCTTCCTATCCTCTCTAATTCTTGTCTACGCCCCCGGGGCAGGCTTCCACCAGGGATCCCCAGGCTGGCCAGCGGCTCCACACTGGCCCAGCCCCTTTACAGTCTCCCACTTCTCAGTGATCCTCCGTATCTCGCCCCCACGTCCTTCTCAGTAACGGTCATCTAGCCTGCATTCAAGGATGGCAGTATTCCATGATCCACACCCACAAGGATCACCAAGAAAATAGAGAGATCACTGAGCAGAGCCATGTAATATGCAAAATAGATCCGGCCGGCTTTGTGGTCATTGGCTTCAGGACCCAGCTCACTTTTGGCTGCTTCGTACACAGGCAGCAATGGAACCCTGCTGTCAGCAAGCTTCCCATTTCACCTTTGCAGCACCTCTCCAATACATCTAGTCTTCTTTCCTTGACACGACCCCCACCCTCTGGCAGACCCTCCTCGCCTCGCGCCTGGACTATGGCAAAGCTCCTGGGGGCAGGAGTGCCGCCTGCCTCTGCGCTCTCTCCCCACCAGTCCATCCGCCATTCGGCCCTAAAGCTCAGGTCTGACCATGTCACCCCCTACCCAATAAACTCCAGTGGCTCCTTATGGCCTCTGGGATCAAATAGGAAATGCCCTGCATTACCTGGCCCCCTCCAGCCTCCTCACACCTCAATACCCTCTCTTGGATTCCAGCCACCAGCCTCCTGACTGTTCCACAAACAACACCCTCTGTCTCTCGGCTCGGGGCCTTTTCTCTGACCATCCTCTGTGCCTGGAACATTCAGTGTCCTCATCTTGATTCCCTGGTTTCTCTGGCTTCCTTCAAGTCACTACTAAAATCACACCTTCTGCAAGAAGTCACTCCTGGCTCCCCTTGACCTTGGCACCTTCCCCACTGAGCACCTCCAACATATGCTGGCTGTGTCCTTTCTTATCTCGTTGTTTCCTGTTGCCTCCTCAATCGGACTGTGAGCTCCTTGTGACTGTTTTTTGTCTTCCTTTGTATTCTTAGCACAGTGGCTGACTTCAGATTAACCCACTAAAGGATTGTTCCTGCCCAGCACAAACATGGAATCCTTCTTCCTTTAGGCAGAGAGCCTCAGGACCAGATCAGCAACAGAAAGGTACAGACAGGCCAGGCCAAAGAGGCACCATTACAGTAAAGTCACAGACTAACTGGTCTCACTCTCTAGGCAGGTATCATTCTGAAAAAAGCTTAAGTGCCTTAATTAAGTCAAAACTGTTTTTGTTGAAATTAATATAGTGAAAAAATCAGTTTAGTAGTTCAAATGCAGTAGCTCCGTGTTTCCTGATCCTTAAAAAACCAGAGAGCATTAATGAGCTTTCTCTGACCCCGGGTCTCTACGTCCAAGAATCATATTGCCATCATGGGTCCTGTGTTTGGGGCATTAAAAAAAAATTCAGAGCTTTGCCTGTAAACACATTTTCATTGATCCATTAAATCTATATTTATTGAGCATCTATTATGTGTAAGGAACTGTGCTGGGATTGTGGGGAATGCAGACATGAAGAGTCTGCCTGCAATGAACTTTAGTTTAGTGTGGAAGATAACAGATACGGGATAAAATGTGTAAGTAAAACAAAACACATTTTTTAAAAGGGCTGAGAAATTCAAATGTGTTGGGAAGGGTGTTATCTGGGAGGGATCAGGGAAAGCTTTAGAGCAAGGATGGCATTTGAGTTGGGTTTTGAAACATGGATAGGAAAGGGGAGTGAAGGACAATCCATGGGGAAGAAATAATGTGAACAGAGAGGCAGGAAGTATTTAGCAAAGAGCAAAAATAATCCAATGTGAGAATGCATGGTGTGTGATGGAAAAGAATAGGAAGGATAGCAGATTGGAAAGGTAGGTTGACGCCAAACACTGAAAGGCCCTAAGAGTCCAAAGAGGTTGGACTATACTTGGGGGGCAATGGAGGGCAGTCCAATATGGCAACCTTGTTCCTTTAGGGAGATTACTCTTCAAATGGCATTAACAAGTCTGGATGCAAAGAGGCCAGTGAACAAGGCCCAGCAGCAGCCCAAGGGTGAAGTGATGAGCATCTGAACAAGGGTCATGACAATGGGAAAGGAAAGGAGGGACTGGAGGTAGAGGATCACAGGGGATGAGACATGAGGAAAGGGAGAAGGAGAGGAGGAGGAGAGGGGAGGGGGAAGGGGGAGGAGGAGGGAGAGAAAGAGAGACAGAGACACACAGAGAGGGGGAGAGAGAGAGAGAGAGAGAGAGAGAAAGCGAGAAAGAGAGATCAAGGATCAGCACAGAAGACAAGCTTGGGGAGGGGTCAGAGAAGCAGGAGGTAGAAAAATGGCTAAGTGACAAGTGGTACAAAGAATTCTGGACTGAGGAAAAAAGAAAGCAGCAGCAATGGAGGTGGGAGCAGAGAGGAGAAAGGAATGAGGAGCCAGGCTGAGGAGGAAGGGCAAGAAGGCCTGGCTGAAGGCGCAGTGTTAAGAAGGATGAGCTGACAGGTAAAGACGTGGGGAGATGTGACAGGAGAAGACGAAGGCGTCTGTGCTCCACCTCTGATCTCTCTGGCAGAGAGGAATCAAGGTCAACTGCCAAAAGCAAAGGAGGCAGAGACCAAGAATCAACGAATGAAGACAATGTGCCACAGCAAGTTTGTTAAGGCATCTGGACAAGAAAAATCAACCAGCGCCAAGGCCCGCGGAGGTGAGAGGGCGTTGAGGCCTGGCGGGAGGGATGCAGGATCGCAGACTGGCCGGGAGGCCCAGCAGAAGGTCAGGGAGGCCAGATTCTGGGGGGCCAGGAAAGCCAGAAGGGGTCTGACACCTTGGGCTCAGAGGTCACAACCACAGGAACTTACAGGCCTCTTTTCTACAAGCTGCCTCCCAGCAGCTGAAGCAGTCCTAGGGAGGTCACAGACCCGGCAGAGAGCGGCTCTGGACAGGACCACGTGGAAGCAGACAAACAACTCCTCCCACTGGACTCTGCCGAGGACTCCAGGTAGCAGAGCTTTAGCTTCGGTTCCCATTTTCTGCGTAGGAAGGGCATGATAAACCAGCACACCAATGGAGTAGCCAACTTGGATCTGGGCTCCTGCATATGCTCAGAACAATATTTTATCTTAAAGCAATTACAGATTCGAACACTCTGTAACAGAGATGTGCAAAAGTCTTGGAGAGATATTTCATGATCACAGATTTTAAAATTTAAATAAGATTTTAAACTTCTACTAAAAACCTTTCCTGGTGCCCCATTTAGGGATGATGGGGAGTGGGAAATGGGAACGAGAGGAGAGGGAGAAAAAAAAACAGAGAACGGGCTTTTCCAAAATGGATTGTAAGTCCACATTTTAACGTCCAGCCTAGTTAAGTGTGGATATGCTCATCATTGAGTTAGACCATCTGCTAAGTTACAGAGAGGTCCAGATCTGCATTCCTGGAGGGAGTCTGCACACAAGGAAGGCCTTACAGCTCTCTAAAATATCAAAATATAATTAGGAAAAAACATTCTCTACTGCTGTTATACTATATGCTCAGATGATGCCACCTGGCTCTCACTGGCCATTGTTTAGCCCTCCCCAACCAAGTACGATCTACACACTCCTTGGCCTGGCACTCTAGGTTGCTCTGAAGTGAATCTCATGTTTGAGTACTTGGGGTTTTTTTAAATATATTGTGCTCTGCTGATTCTGTGGCCTTTGGTGTCTGCCTTGGTCACCCAAGCCCAAAGTAATCTCCATTCTTCTATCTGTACTGCTCAGGTGTGACATTTATCACATACTACAAGGTAAAGTTCTATGCCCATGCTTTATTTCTTCTACTGTATCTTAAGCTCTGAGAGGGCCCTGATTGTATCCTGTACATAGCGGGCGCTCCATAAATATTTACTTAATGAATGCACAAAATACTTAGTAGTGTGACTGGACCTGCTGAAGCTCAGCTAGCAGGGGAGTGAGCATTCAGGGGTTTGCTGCTCTTGACTCATATCTGACCTGGTTCCCTCATCCCCCTTCATTCTAGCAAACAGATTACAGCTGCTAAAATTCCTCATCTGCATGAGGCAGCGTGACCACGTGAAAGCCAGCTGCGGTGGGAAGCACAGCTTGGCGGGCAGACACAGACTGGGCCTAGGTCGTGGCTCTCCTTGACCAGTGCTAGGGCTGTCCCTAGGCTCCGTGCAGACACTACAAAATGAACACGACACTCTCCGAGGTCCCTCCAGCTCAGCCACCCTCCTCCCCATCGTCTGCCTTCCCAGGCACTCTCCTGCTGCTCGTGTCACTGTTTCTCTAGCACCCTCCTCCTCTTCAGGAAGCATCTCTCCAAATCTCTCCTGAGCTCCAGCTCCCCTCAGCCAAAGGCCACCTGACCCCAGACATGCAAAAGGAACCCTAATAACCTTCTTTCAAAACCCCTTTCCATCAGAGGCAAGGCCATTCATCTAGACTCAAAACCCTGACGCTCGCCCATCTGTCCCTCTTCTCCATTCGCATGGCCAGTCAATCGTTAAGAATGTGCAGCCCAGCTTCCGGGGCCTCTCCCACCTCCTCCCACTCTTCTTCCTGCTGCCCTATTCCAGGCTGCCATTACCACCTGCCCAGCAGCTAGAGCGGGTCTTCACGCTTCCACCCTCTCCCACCTTCCATAAGGACCCGATCCATCTTTGGTAAACCAAGATCCGACTATGCCACGCCTATGCTCAAAACAAGACGAAGTACTGGTCAAACAGCATCAGGCTGGAACTCACAGCCAGCCTATCTGGGACCTATTTTCACACTTGTCCTGCACTATTCCCCTTCTTCAATCCTAGGCTCTAGGAGCTAAATGCCTCACGGCTACCCCCCCACAAGTGCACCTTTAGAATGTGGTCTTCCTCCCCCCACCCCTATGACAACCTGGTGAGACGCTGCTTATCCTTTATGGCCTCGCTGTGATGACATTTTCTATAGGAAGCCTTCCTTGAGCTTTACAGTTGGTAAAGAGCCTTCCTGACCACAGACCACAGACCACGGGCACCCCTTGATTCACACCTCTCTCACGCACACACCACGCCTCATTTCTTATTACAGTTTGTGTTATATTCTCCCCTCCAGATCATCAGCTCCCTAAGGGCAGGTACCATGTCTCACTGAATTTCTGCCTTTCCTTGGGGCCTTGAACAGTATCCTGCACAGAGCAAAGATCTCACAAATGTTCGTTGGGCTTGCTAAAAACATTTTCTTTGACGTGACAAGAAATAACCACATTCCTCCTCTTCGTGCCATCTGGGGGTGCCTGCCAGGACCCACTCACCTGCTGAGGGGCGACAGCGTCCCTGTAGCTGGGCAGGATTTTCAGCGTGACGCTGCCGCTGATGCTTCTCAGCAGCTCCTGGAGCTCCTTGGGGTTGTTCCCGACCTCGTGACCATTGACCTCCTTAATGACGTCCCCCACGTGAAGAAGACCCTGTCGATCGATCATTCCCCCATGAAGGATTCGGGCAATGACCAGGTCGTTATTTTCAACCCGGAACGTCACACCCTAGGGGAGAAGAGCAGTGACAGCACCTTCTTTACATTGGCCCCAGTGGGTCCCCCTTGGCTATTCCTGAACACATAAAGAAGGTGATACAAGTGTTCGCTGCTGCCCTTACCAAGGACCCTTGGTATAAGCTTGTCACGGTTCTCTTAACAAGGCTCAGCCAGCACCCATGCCCCAGGAGCCTGGGGTAGGGGCAGAGCAGGCCCCTGGAGGCAGAAGAAGGAAGCCATTGTCTGTGTACGTGGTCCTCACCCCCACCCCAAGAAGATGAGAGGGACATGGCAGCAAGAAGGAGAACTCATGCTTTTGGATGGCCACAGCCCAGGAGTGTTAATTCCACTGGTAGGTGGCATTTTCTATGGTCTGGCCACCTGAATTTTTCCTTCTCTAGGGTACAACAGAACCACCCCTCAGATGTACACAGCATCTCAGTACCCTCCTGCTGGCCCTGACGAAAAGGGGTTCGGGGAGTGTGCTCATGTCAGCGCGTGCCTACACTCGAATGCGTGATGACAGAGTACAAATGGCAGACAATGGAGGTACCAGACCTGCGACACTTCCCTGACAGATCACGGCTAAGGCAGAGCCGAGTTCTGATTCTGTTCTTACCAGGGGCTCTCCTGCTTTCTTGTGGATACCCAGGATACGAATGGCATCTACCGGCAGCAGCTGGTTGTTCACAGAGGAATGATTAATTTCTGGGCTAGATGGAGGTGAGTCATAACACTTGGATGCCACGATATCATGGGCCTCCAAAAGTGACTAGAAAGGGCAGATCAAACACTGGGTTAGGAACGACAGACCTGCGGGAAGGGCTGGTTTCATTTAACAAAAGTAACCCGGGAGGCCACCCACCACAGCCACTGCACAACCCACTAACCCAGCCCCACCCAAGGGCCAGAGCCCCATTCTCAGAACACCCCAAATTCAACAGGTGCAACAGCAAACCCCAGCCTCCCCCTGGCCCGCTCCTCCTGCTGCCTCCCCTGTTTCTGTTGGCAGTATCATTATTTCTCCCCGGAACACATGCTTCACTCCATGTTGCCCGCCCCTCCCTCAATAAGGTGCCAATTCTGGCCATTCTGCATCAATCCCACATGAGTTTATTGAGCACGGAATGTATGCACAGCAGAAGGCTCAGCGCACATGCTTCCTCTTTTCCAGCTCTGCTCCCAAAGGACCCCAGCTCAGACGCCATCATTGCTTCCAGCATGGATTAGAGAAGCAGCTTTCTGAACAGAGTCCTGGCCTCCCGTCTTTCCTGCTGGCACGTTAGAGGAATGTCCACATTTGGGGCCCATCATCCAGAGCCTTCACAGCCTGCTCTCAGCTGGCCTCCGTTCTCTCCCGCTCCCAGGCTCTCCCCCAGACTCCAAGCCCTTGTTTGGGCCATAAATTCAAACCCCCACCTCATCTTCACCTTCTGAAATACTGCTCCCTATGTGAGGCCCAAACCAAACCACGCCTCTGCCAAATGACGGCCTGCTCTATTAAATCTCTGTGCATCTGCTATGCCTCTACCACCCTCGCCATGTTCACACTTTGCTAGCTAGATCTATCTTGCCCTTTTGTGCCCAGACCAGAAGCTCCCCCCATTCTCATTTCTCTGTCATGACTTCTCAGCATCCCAGGGCCTCACTGATTTCCAAAAGCTTCACACAGGCAGTATTATTGTAGCTGTGAGAAAACAAAGGAATAAGGATGTATGGCTGACTGTCACTGACCGCGCCAATGAGATGGGGATTGGGTCACTGGACATGAGCCTGTCCCGGGCAGCCCCACATTGCCTGCAAGGAGATGAAGTTTCTAGAGCAAGTAAGAGGCCAGCCCAGCTGCCCCGAAAAGATGCCATTCCAGGAAGGTCAAAGAGCTGGTGGCCATAACGGATGAAGGAGCCAGGGGTGCCCATCTCAGAGAAGAGAAAAGCTAAGGAGGACCGGGGAGCTACAGATCTGCACGAGACAAATGCCATACAAAGGAAGAATCAACTCCAAATGTTTTCTCACGAGCCTAGTTCCTCACTCAAATATCTGTGGATGCCATTTGGATGCCATTTGGAAGAGTAGATGTGTTCCACATTGAGCTCCAGAGGAAGAATCCATAGTAATGGGCAGAAGGAAGAAGACTTAGCTTTGATACGAGGAAACTATCTGTCCACAATCAGAGCTCCAGAGGGAGCCTGGGATGCCTCCCTTTCACTGACCTGAAGATTTCAGACTCCAGAGTACATGGGTCACTTCTGGGAGGCAGTGACAAAGCAGCAAGTCACTGTACTCTGTCTGCCTCAGTTTCTTCATCTGCAAAACGGAGACAGTAACAGCACCTACCTCACAGTGTTGTTTACGAGGGTCAAGTGAAATGATATCTGCAGGGCCCTCTGCAAACCTCACGGCGCTATAGAAATGCTGTTATTGTTGTTATCATTCCTATATGACCTGTGAAGTCCCTTCCAACTCAGAGATTCCTTTTATGACTGCGCAACTATGGGAAATGACAGACAACTGGTTTAAAAACAATTGGGTTGTGTTAAAATTGTTATCTGAAGGTTGTGAGTGAGGAACGAGCCTAACCTTTTATGAAAAGAACCGTTTTGTTCCAGCAGAACGTAACCCTGTAAAACTGCAGGATTTAGAAGAAGTGATTCTGTGTAAACCAGCCCCTGATTAGCAGAGAAGTAGGAGTAAGAGAGCGAGCCACCGGAGAAATCCTTGACTGAAGCCCCTACTGTGTGGGGAGCAGAGAAGTGCGGCAGTTTCTAGCCTTCCTTTTCATGAAGCAGGCCCAGTAAAGGGCCAACTGAGGCAGGCGACCAGAGGGGACATTTCTGAAGCTGCAAAGGCCAAAGAGCAAACAGTCGAGGCTCTGAAGAACCAGAAGGAGCAGCAGCAAGTTTACAGGAAACTAAAAATAAGCGGGCGCTACCTGGCTTGTACAATACTAAAGCAAAGCAAAAACAATCTTTTCTTTGAGAAAAGGAAAGCAGTCAGGTGATCACCAGATGGCAGAGTTTAAACACAGAACTTTTACCAGCTACAGCAGCTTTAAGAGTTGTGTGCAGGATCTCAATTGGATGTGACCTCAATTTGTAATGAGAATTTAAACACTATTTTATGGTTGTTTAAATGAAATTTAATTTTATAGAAAAGGCATATAGTGAGTGTGACTTCAATTTCTAGCAAGTCTCAAAATTACTATTAAAAGAATTATTGGTAAACATCTAGAAAAGAAAGTGCTCCAATCAGTAAGCCCAGGCACCCAACCCAAGACAGGTAGAGTCAGCCCAGACGAACCTCAAGGCCTTTCTGGCCAGGACCAGGAGCCTGGCAAATCAGCAGAATGCCCAGGCGACGGTTTGCCAAGATTTGTGACAAGGCACCAGCTAACTGATCTCTTTTTCTTGTAGAAAAGACGGAGAGACACAGACTGGATGATGATGCAGTTAGATGGATTCCTAAAGCTTGGTTCCCAAGAGAAATCACGACTAGTTCCACTTCCACTTGGAAGAAGATTTCCGCTGGAGCGCCCCAGGGATTGGGGCTGGGCCCCATGCTGCTGCTGAACATTTTTACCAATGATCTGGATAAAAGCATGGATACCACTCTCATGAAATTTTTAGATGGCACAAAACCAAGAAGAAAACCGAACATCCTGGTTGAGTCAGATTTTTAAAAGATCTTGACCTAACCGGTTAGAATATTGGGCGGAATCTAGTAAACGAAATTGAAAAAAGACAGAAAGTCTTAGAACTGTTGGGTTAAAAAGTGACTTCGAAGAAGAAGATGGGAGACAGAAGGCTTCCTAATAAAAACACAAGGGTGTTCGAGTGCACTGCGAGGTCAGTGAGTCAGCGATGGAAACTGCAATCGAGGAAGCTAAGGGAACCCTGGGCTGTGTCCTGGGAGGCCGAACCTCCAGGAATATGGAGAGGCCATCTCCACTGTATTCTGCCATGGCCCAAACCCATTCAGGCTCCCCATTTTAGGAAGGCTATTGCTAAGCATGAAATTCTACAGAGGAGTTCATGGTGAAGGAAATAGGGAGATTTAGCCTGGAGCAGACGAGGTTGGGGGGGAGCAGTGCCCGAAGAAGATGCAGATGCCTGCAACACTGACCAGCAGGGCAGGAGGCAAAGACTGAGGAAGGGAAGGCTCACCAGAAGCTTATCCCCGAGTGCAAGGGTCTGGCTTCAGGGACAGCAGCCTCTTCAATGAGAGGCTGACAACCTCTCGTACAATGTGTTGTCTAATAAGAGTGGGAAGAGACAGCTACTGAGCTTCCTCCCCACTCTAGAGTTCGGGGAAAGAAGATGAGTTTAGTTTTAGAGACACTGAGTCTGAGTTGACAGCAGGATATGCAATGGGAAAAGCAACGTAAGTCACTGGATATAGGAAACAGGCCTCAGAAGACCCCAGGAGTCACCCCTGCTACGATGAGAAGGAAGGAGTGCACGTCTGTCTCACTGGCCCAGCACACCTCCTGCCAGGCATCATCCCAGAGCCATAAGCCATAGGATTTCCTGATCCCTACACTCAAGGATTCTTTGCAAAGTGAGCCTTCCTTGGACTCTCCCAACCCTAACATGAAGACCAGTAAAGAAGAAAATCCGCAGGAAGGCCTACAGCTCAACAGATACATGGTGCAGGAAGTTAAAAAGGCATGCTTCACAATAAGCAAAGCTGAGGGAAAACTGACATATACAGAAGTGAAATAAGGACCTCGTCCTTCTCTTCCTTGACCTCTCTGAAGCCTCTGACAATGATGATCACCCTCTTCTCTGCGGGTTTTCAGGAGTCCATGCTCTCCTGGCTCTCTTTCTACCTCTCTGACCACTCCTCAGTTTCCTTCACAGGATTTTCAGTTAGGTCACACACACAAACCATGGGTGTCCTATGGGGCTGTCCTAGGCCCTTTTCCCTTGACGCTCTGCTCTCCTCAGGTCCCTAGTTCAATCGTCATCTCTACGTTAACGAGCCTCAGACCTACTTCTCTAGCCTTTATGCCCTCCTGACCTCCGGACGTGCATCTCCACCCACCCATGCGATATCACAAACTGGATAGCCTTTAACCATCTGAACATGTGCCGCACTGGGCTCCCCCCACTTCCCTCTTACTGTCAAGGGCACCGCCGCCCCCAGTTACCCAGGCTCACAGCCCAGGCTTCATCTGCAGCTCCTCAGTCTCTCTTACACCTGATCCAATTCACGACATCTCTCCAATATGCACTTTCTATCCTTTGATCTGCCCCTACTGCAGCCTTCATCACCTCACACCTGGGTTATTTCAAGAGTCTGCTGGTTGGCCTCTCTGCCTCACATCTCTCCCCACTCTAGGCCACTCAGCTGTCAAATTAATCTTACTCTAGCACAGGTCTGACCACCTCATCCCACCCTGCCCCACTCAATAAACCCCAGTGGCTCCCTGGTGCCTCCAAGATCAAATATAAAATCCTGTTTAGCATTTAGAGGTTCTTCCTAACCTGGCCCCCTCCAACCTTTCCATCATCATCACATGCTCTGCAGTCCAGTGACACCAGCCCCCTTGCAATTCCTTGCACAAAATCCTCCATTTCCCACCTCCAGGCACTTGCCCTGGCTGTGCCCCATGCCTGGCTTGCTCTCCCTCCTCATCTCCACCTCCGGCTTCCTTCAAGTCCCAGCTCAAAGATCATCTTGCACTAGCAGCCTTTCTGGAAGCCCTCCCTCTCTGATCATTCCCATGAGACCGTGATGGTCCTGGAAGGCCCGGGCTCGCTTTTGCCTTTCTTTGCATCCCCAGCACCTGGCATACAGCAGGCGCCTAATACATGCTTACTGACTGAGGCACAGTGCCATACAACGGGTACCGTGCAACATCACAAAGCGTAAATCACGCATTAATTCAACACTGGGCCTCCTGCCATTTCCATTCCAGCTCTGCATTTCGCAATGTCTCCTGTGTGAAGGTTCCTTTTCTCCTCTGGCTGAATTACGGGGAAATGGCTCTTCAAGCTGCAGTCTGAACACCTTGGCTGGACTAGACCTCACTGGTGCACCACCAGTTCAGTCACCGACAGACACAGCCAGCCAGCAATCGATGGCTGTCCAAACAGTATATGAACCATCACTCGCCCATTATTTCTTGCCATTTCGTTTAGTGAAAGATAGGTAGCTAGATGGAGCAGTGGACGGAACACCAGGCCTGGAGTCTGGAAGACTCATCTTCCCGAGTTCAAATCTGGCCTCAGACATTTACCACCTGTGTGACTCTGAGCAAGTCGCTTCACCCTGTTTGCCTCAGTTTCCTCTTCTGTAAAATGAGCTGGAGAAGGAAATGGCCAACCTCTTTAGTGTCTCTGCCAAGAAAACCCCAAATGGGGACATGCAGAGTCAGACATCACTGTAAACAGCAACATTTCTTTCTTTGCTAGGTAAATGCGTTGAAAACAGCTCCTTTCTAAATCATTTTGGGCCCTAAAGGGTTAATGTGATGGGTATAGAAAAGGGATTTTGTGACTAGAAGCCTAGTAACTGAACTGATCAAGAGAAGGACCCTTGTCATTATGTCTAAGTAAAGCTTTGTAGAGCATTTAGGCCAGAACCAGGGCATAAGGACACTCAGTAAATCAGAAATCATTGTTTTCTGATGACTGATGTTGGCATTTTAAAAAACCAGAAACTCTACAAACACAACTGAAGCCTCTTGTCAGTTGGTAAGCACACATTTATTAAGCACCTGCTAGGTACCAAACACTGTGCTAAGGGCTGGGGATACAAAGAAAAGGCCGAATCAGCCCCTCCAAGTCCAGTGGGGGAGACATGAGACCAACTGGGCACAGAGCAGACTCCTACAGAGTAGGAGAGGGTCCTCCAGGAGGGGGTCTGGGAAAGGACGCCCGAAGGAGGCAGAACGTGAGCTTGGCCTTGCCAGGAGAAAGGAGGCAGAACCTTGCGGCCACGGTGGACGGCCAGAGCCAAGACAAGAGATGGAAAACGGAACCCAAGGGGAGGAGGAGCAAGAGACCAGCTGGGCAGAGGGGAGGAAGGTGGAAGAAGACTGGAAAAGTAACTCGTCTCCCACTCCTCGGGAACAAGGCTTTTTTGCCTTTTGGGGAAGAAAGATAATGAATTTCAGAGCAGTTAAAAAGACAAAACCAAAACAAGCCGTGACGCCTCCGGATGTACCCGGGACGAAACGCGGCTCCAGGCCTCGGGGTCAGATGGCCACTTCTCCAGCAGAGATGTTTCACATTTGTCGTTGCAGCGGTTCAGCTGTCTCAGTCTCGTCTGATCCTCCGTCACCCCCCTGGGGTTTTCTGGCAGAGATCCTGGAGTGGTCTGCCATGTCCTTCTCCAGCCCATTTTACAGAGCAGGAAACTGACGCAAACAGGGTGAAGTGACTTGCCCAATGTCGCACAACTAGCATCTGAGGCCACATTTGAACTCAGGTCTTGTGGACTGCACACCCAGTGCTCCATCCACTGCACCGCCTAGCTGCTCTGATGTATCAGATACCTTCCACGATGGTTTTTAGTTTTGTATAAATGTTAATCTTGGCATGATAGCTAGCGAAGTCAACTGGAGGACAGCAGGCTAATGAAGCAAACTGGCTTCCAAAATCCAGGTGGCCCAACTGGGTCTGCTCCGTGCTTGGGCCATACGCCACGTGCATCAACCTGCCAGCTCCAACATGTCTGGTCACGAGGACCAAGGAAGAGGGGAAGGATGAAAAGGGAAAACCTCCACAGGACCCCTCTCATGGCAGCCAAGAGGGATCATCCTTGTACGTGAAAGACCCTGCACCCGTTATCGTGATTTTATAGGAAGACTAAGAAGAATACCACTAGAAACAGGTGAAGGTCACAATAAATCTAAAACACAGGCCAAAAGAGAACTCATTTCCTTTTTTAAATAATATAAATCACCATGAGTATTTAAAGTCTTTAAGTAGCCAAATTTGGAATATATTTCATATATGGACCTCGTATGGAGGATTATTTACAAAAATATAAAATACCCAGACTTAAAAAAAAAGGTTATTTAAATAAACTTGTATGAGAAAAAAGAAACTGAACGAGACATTAAACTCCCAAAGTAAAACACTCCAGGACCAGATGGATTTAGAAGTGAATTATAACAACATTCAAAGGAAAATTAATTTTAATATCATATAAATTCTTTACAAAAATAGGAAAAGAAGGGACCCTTCCAATTTCTTTCTAGGACACACATATGATTTTTGATACCTAAATTAGAGAAAGAGAAAGCAAGAAAATAAAACTACAGACCAATATGCCCAATAAACATTAACCCAAAAATTTAATAAAAAGTTGGCAAGAAAGGTACATTAACATATCAACAAGCTTGTTCATTATATTTAAGTTGGCTTTACACCAGGAATTCAAGATTGGTACAATATAAGGAAGATTATAGACCTAACAAATTCTGCAAACAACATAAAAAAACCCACATACTTTTATCATGAGATATTAGATGGCTTTTAACAAAATACATCACTAAACCTCATAGAAATAGAGGAACTTTTTCTTAACATAGTAAATAGTATTTATCTAAAGCCAGGGTAAACTTGCGTAATGGAGAAATGTTAGAGGCCTTTCCAATAAGATCAAGGGATAAAGCAAGGATGTCCATTATTCCACTATTTGATATAGCAGTTGAAATGCTAGGTGTAGCAATATGACAAGAAAGAAAATTAAGGGAATAAACACAGGCAAAGAGGAAACAAAACTCTTTACTTTTTGCAAATGACATGCAAGAGAATCCTATCTAAAGAACTTTTAAAGAGTCAACTGAAATTAATAAATAATAAAGTTTATAAAGTTTATAAAATTGTGAAGATATAAAACAAATCTACATTAAGTCACCAAGATAGAAAAAAGAAATTCCACTCAAAATAACTAAAGAATATTAGTATTTGGCACTATCTACCAAGTCACACTTAGGAATATGTGAATACGACTACAAAATAATCAGACAGGAGTAAAGACAAGTTAAAATGGCTGGAGAAGTTAATAACCGCTCATGAGAACATAAGAAAATGACAATACTACATAAATTAATTTACTCAGTGCCATACCCAAACAAACTACCAAAGAATTACTTTATAGAACTAGAAAAAAATAATGAAATTCATCTGGAAGAACAAAAGGTCAAGAATCAAGGGAAATAATGTAAAAAAGTGGTTAAAAAAAGGGGGGGTGGAGTGGGCCTAGCAGGACTGGATCTCAAATTCTACTAGAAAGCACGATTTGATACTAATTAAAAAAATAAAGAGGTTGATCAATGGAACAGATTGTGGCATAGCGCTTGATAAACCCAAAATCTTCACTTGCTTGGGTAAGGATTTACTATTCAAAATAAAAACTGATAAGAAAATTGGAAAGTTGGAAAGCAGCCTGGCAGAAATGAGGTCTAGATCAATATCTCACACCATACACCAAGATAAATTCCAAGTGGATACATAACAGAAATAAAATGTGACATCATAAACAAATTGGAGACCCTTCAAAAAAGGGTCAAAAGTTGACAAAAGAAAAAAATGGACCATTTTGAGTATATAAAATCAAGCTCTTTGGAAATTTCACTGGTAAAAGACGAGTCACATGGCCAAGGGCTAGAGGTGGGTAAGTGGGAAAGGTATGATGAAGAAAGGTTACCTGAAAGTGAGGCTCCTTGAGAATGCTGACCAGCTCAGCAACGTTTTCATCTACATTTATTAAAGGGCTGATGTCTTCAAGAATCTCATTCACTAGTTCCAAGTTATTATCACTGACGGCTTCAAGTTTAGAATCTTCTAGTCTTTCATGAGCCTGAAATGATGAGAAATTTAAATTAACAGGAGTATTACTTTTCATTCTTTCTGATACAAGTAATGTTTTCTTCTTTCATAAAGATTATTTAAAAACCATACTATTTTGATATTTGACTCATAAAAGCTAAATTTCATTTTGTTATACACTTGCACACAAATTTTCCAGTCAGTTTTTCAAGCAGTATGACGAGATTTATAATTCACAGTCTCATCCTGATTCCAAAATGCAAATTTTGCAACAAACTCATGAAAGATCTAAAAAAGCTGGCTGCAACTCCTTTCAGAAACAATATTAACTGAATGCTGACTAAGGAGGCCTTATTCTCTCCAGAATTTAGTGATCGTTCTGGATTAGACAAAAGATGCAATAAACATTAATGTTGCAACTTAAAAATTATGCTTACTATCAAGAAGAAATTATGCTCACACCAAGAAAACAAGTGCTGGGAATGAGGTTATCAAATTTTCTATTTTTAAAAATCGATCAATTATATTTCATTCTCCACTCATCTTATGAAATGAAAATACAGCGAGGAAAGCATAACAAAAAAAGCTAAAGCACCCCTGGCCAGACGGAGTGCACATCTAATGAACAGCGTTAATGCTGAAGTAATTCCATGTGGATTCGGGCTAGAAAGGGACAGGAATAGCCTGTCCTGCCACGGCTGGTGAGGGGACCAAATAAAATGAGCGAGAGTAAAAGAAAGGGACAGACACACAGTGAGACTAACGTGACCGAAATCCAGCAGTAGGGAGAACGAGAGCAGTCCCTGGTCCTCGTGAGTGTAGCGCACGCTCGCAGAGCCGCATTCCGGTAGCTTCCGTGCCCATAAGAACTTTCTTGAATGTTTATTAAAAAGGACAGAAGATGAGCTCATGTGCAAACTCAGAGGAGCTGCCAATCAAACTTCCGCGGGCTCTTGCCACTCATGGGCGTTATGCTTTGTCAGAATGAATAGGGTGGGGGTGGGCGTCAAACATACTTCCAAGGGCAGCCCAAACTAGATTAAAATGCAATTGAGGAATGTTGCACAAAATCATTAAGAGTAAAACAAAACACAGATAATATTACATTTTAAAACTAAGTCACCATGTGGCTTGCAGGGATGCTAGGTGTGCATTAGTCTCCCCCTCTCCCCCGGTTCCATTTGCTATAAGAGAATAAACAGAAAATATGAAATGCTGAGCAAATGCTTAAACAGCAATTTTAGTTTGGTCAAAAAGGGGAGAAGTGGACAGAAAACCAAAGAGAAAGCATCAAGGCTTTTAAAAAAATCCTCTCCTCATTTCTATACATATTTTTAAAACAATGAGTGACAACGAAAATAAGGAAAAAATCACACCCAAGTGATATGGGGGGGAGGGGGTGGCACAGAGGGCGTGTGTGTGTGTGTGTGTGTGTGTGTGTGTGTGTGTGTGTGTGTGGCCAACACCTTGGAAGACCAGGCAAATTTCTCCTGAGGTAACAGGCAAACCAGGCAAAGACTCCTGGGAAATCCTTGTTTGGCATGTCTATCCCTACAACCTGTACCTCGGTACAGCCAGGAGTGGGTAGAATGTGCCCAACTGAACAATTATCACGTGCCTCTCAGTAGAAGACATTTTGCTCGAGTTACAAAAAGTAAAAAATAGCCCTTTGGTCCAGAAGAGAATGGTCTAAATGGGAGAACTCACCCAGACAAGAGGCCACCTCTAAGATGTCTCTCTGTCTCTCTCCCCTCCTCCCCTTTTGAGTACCTCTGGTCCTCTCAGATGCTAATAACCATTTACCCCTTGGAAGTCACAGGGCCCTTTCCCAGCTGCTTAAGTGTGAAGGTGTTAGTACCAGACCACTGCCTCTGAATCTGCATTCATTGACTGATTTCATAGTTTATTAAACTTTGAATCGAACCTCCTTCTGAATTTGGGAATTCTCGCCAGTACACAAAGCACAAGTTTAGAGCATCAAAGGACCTTCGGGGCGTTCTGTCCAACCACCTCGTTTTACAAACGATGAAACTGAGGCCTGGTGGCAAAGTTGGGATCTGGATGCAGGCGCTGACTCCGAATCAAGCACACTCTCCCCTGGGCCACAGCGTGAAGACAGCAAGGCCCGTTAACAACAGGTCATGATTCCCCAGAGGAGGGCCAGCCTTCCTTTAGCCTGGGTGCCAGCAGCTGCCCCTGGAGGAGTGGGCTCAAGAATGAGCATCCTCCCCTCACTCCTCCTAGAGCATGTGGACAGGAGGCAACAACATGTGGGAAAGCTGTTCAAGAAAAGGTTTAAGGAAACAGATTCCCAGTCTACCGAGAGACACCAGCGCAGCAATACCTCAGGAGTCAACGGAAGCCAATGTGAGCACAGGAAACCCTGGGCAAGAGATGGCTAGATAGACTCGTCTTCCAAAATATTACACGTTAAAGAGAGCAGTGAAGGGACTCTAGGACCAAACAAGGCTGGCTCACAGGGATGAGGGAAACTGTTCTGTAACCAGAAATAACAGGGGCATCAGAAGCCTAGGAAAGAACGTGATTTGGCCTTGGCTAGAGAGACTGCAAAGAACGTTAGAAGGAAGGGACAAGTCAAGTCAAGAAAGCAATGCGTGCGGCAATGGATTCCATACAGAGAAGGCAGGAGCAAGCCTTGGTTAAATATCAGATTATTCCGCACTGGGAGAGGGGAAGCCACAAGGACAATCAAAGGTTTGAGAAACAAGAAGGGCCACGATAATCCATCCCACAGACTCTGCATGAGTTTCCCCAGTCCAATGAGAGCCTCCCTGTCACCACAGGGAGCATCAGAACTCCTCATGGAGAGGATCAGGTGGCTCTGAGACAGTGTGATATGGATGTTCAGACGGCCCTCTCTGGGATCCCAGAATACTGAGATTAAACCCACATTCTCTCCTCACCTCCAGACTCCACCAAGGCAAACAAGCCTCTTACAAAGGTGAGGGAGGGGGAAGAAGCCACTTAACCTTTCTGAGACTCAATTTCCTCATTTGTAAAATGAGTCAGAGGATTGGAATAAATGATTCCTGAAGCTTCTTCCTACTCTAACTTCATCTATGATCCAGTGCAGATGCACCTGGGATTTTTCTAACCACAGGAAGGTCCACAGGAGCAATAAAATTCTGTTTTTAATGTAAGAAGAAAATTGGTTTACTGTGAACACTTTAGGATTTTATTATGAGACAGGGATTATCATTTATCAGCTAAAATGATACTACCAGAGGCACTGTCTACAATGGTAACATCTGAAGTACTGCAATCCTTCCAAAGAATAGAGTTTCCCATATGTTTCCATGACCCCATGAACAAAGCCAGCTACCTTCGCGAGGGATTTCACAATCGGGTTCTCCATGATGCCCTTGAGGAAGATGAGGTCTATTTCTCCTGCCCCCGCAGAGGAGGGCAGCTCAGTGAGGTTGTCTAACACCTGCTGCATCGCTGCTGCTGCTGCTGCTGCTTTATGGAAAAAAAAAAAGAGGGAAAAATGAAATTACAATGAACTGTTGGATATAGTAAACTCTAAATTAAAGCCCAAGGCACACTGATAAATGTTTTTCCCCCTAAAAGAACTAGTGAAACTAAGTGACTACCAAAACCACAAAATTTTACAAGTTAGTCAATAAACATGTATTAAGTACCTACTATTTGCCAGGCTTTGTGCTAAGAGCTGGCAAAAGACAAAAGACAGTCCCTGCCCTCGAGGAGCTCACCAGGAGCCAACAGGAAAACAATCACATAGAACCAGGACATACACAGGACAAACTGGAAATAATCACCAGTGGAAAGGCACGAGAATTAAGGGGCATCAGAAAAGGCTTGTGGGGGGAGGGAGGTGTGAGCTGGGCCTTGAAGGCAGCCAGGAGGGGTAATGGTATTCCGGCATGAGGGAAAGGCAGAGAAAATGCCAGAGTTAGGAGATGGAGTGTCTGGTTTGAGAATAGCCTGGAGGCACCGTCACTAAGTCAGGGATGCTCACAATAAGCATATGTTTAAAAAAAAAAAAGGCACAATGAAAATAAGCCCTACTCACAGGCCAGCCCTGCCCCCTCAGGGCTGTTAGAAGATCAAACTACATCCGTTAATAGACATCTATTAATCACCTACTGCTTACTCTGAACACCTTCAAGTGCTAAGAAGTGCTGTTCTTGTTATCACTGCTGCAGAGGAGGTAGAGAGGCATTCTAAAAACTCAGTAAGATCCTCCAGCTTAAATCCCACAGACTTTCCGGCCTGGCTGCCCCTGGGCCCAGAATAGACTCCTCATCAACGCTTGCTGGCCTGTGTTGACTTGGCTGGGAACGTGAGCTCCCTGGTGCTCGCAGCACTTGCTTGTTTCTGAATTTCTATCACCAGTCATGCATGGACTCCAGTGCACAGCAGGTATCTAATGATCATTTGCCCAGGACTGCCGAAGGCCTTGGCTTCTCCTCTTTCTCCTGTGGATTTCTGACCCTGTGCAGATCAGGAGAGGCCTCAATGCCCATCCAGAACATAAAAGGGCTCTGGGAACAAACACCCAAGTCCAAACCAACCTCTCCTGAAAGCCTTATCCCTTGAATGCTGCTTTGACAACTCTCCAAGCATCACCTGGAGGGAAGTCAGCAGGGCAGAAGAGAGAACATTCGATTAGAGCCAGAGGCAAGGACTCCTGGGCCCAGCTTGCCTCAGCCACTGACTAGCTGGCGGATTGGAGAAAGGTCATTTCTCTGCAATCTCAGCTTCCTAATCTGTAAGATGTGAAGGCTGGATAAGATAACTGTGTTACCAACTCTGAAGCTATTACCAAAAATAGTGAGAGCTGGCATGTATGAAGTACTTTAAAGTCTGCAAAGCACTACGTACATTATCTCATTTAAGCTTCATAATAACCTGCAAGGTAGGTGCTGCTAGTACCTCCATTTTAAAGATGAGGAAACTGAGGCAGACAGAGATGAAGAGATTGTGTCCAGGCTCACATAGCTAGTAGATGTGTGAGGCTAGATTTGAACTCAGGTCTTCCTGACTCCAAGTTCAGCGTTCTAGCCACTGCACTACATCCATGAGTACATCTGCAAACATTTATCTGATTTGAAGAAAATATGCGAAGACCACAAAATATAGTTGGAGGTAGAAGAACCTTCCAATTTTATTCCCACACGAAGGGTTTCACTGTTATACCGAGAAATACCTAAATGGTAAAATAATGTTCTGCATTACATCACTAGACAAGGCTGCAGGACCACAGCAGGCCCCTTCATTGCAGAAATGGGCAGCTGAGGAGAGGGCCACAGGAATTTACAGACCTTCCTACATAGAACTACACAACAAAGCTACTCTCCAATTTTCTACAATAGATTTCATTATGTAAGGCAAATTTAACCGAGTACTTGGAATTTAACCACCTACATTGTTTCATAATGCTCCTTTAAAATTCTATTTTGCAAAATATTTTCTGTTCACTTTTAAAAGACAAACTATGCACACTTAAAGGTTTTATTGTAGTTAACAAATTAGCTGGTATCTATGTGGGTTTATGGACTATTTTTAATATAAAAGGGCTTCTATTAACTATATTTTACGGTGGTTTTGCTCCCATTTACTTTCATAAAGTGAATTCCCCCTTGAAAACATGAGTAGGAGAAATGTGCTTTCCTAAGTTGACAGCAATTATTTGTTCTTTTAGCTCACATGTAATAGTAAGCAACAAGCTTTTTTTAAAAACCAAATTTGTTTTGCCTGCTTTATTTACAGAAACAAAACAAAATCCAATCCCACAGGATGTGGGAAAGTTTTAAGAACCACTGTAAAGGAACACGTCTGAAATCTTTCTATTTCACATACACAGACATACAAACATGTACATAATAGACATAATCTATATTTGCAATTGCAGAACAGGCTCCATGATTCTACAGTATGAACATGCTGAACACTATAATACAGAATAAAAAACAAGGAAATTTGGTTAAGACAGCATTAGGATGTTTGGCCTTGAGGTTTTGTTTTTTTCTTTTTTTCCCCCATTTACAACTAATGTGACCACATGTGACTCCAGAATAATATTGGGATTAATCCAGAATGGGATTAAACTCACTATAAAGTAATTTTTCTTAAAGTCTGATTGGTATGGCACTGAATAATAAGTAAATTAATTTAGGTAGAATTGTCATTTTTATTATATTAGATTGGCCTTCTCATGAGCAACTGATATTTTCCCACTTATTTA